CTAGTCCGCCCTGGGGGCAAGTCCGCCCACCCCTCGATTCACAGCCTTGCGGTGGGTGGATAAAACTTTCGCCGGTGATGTAATGACAAACTAGCCACACCGCACAACATAAAACAGCACGAGGACAATGGCTTTTTGATAAACAAAATTATGCTAAAATTTCCATTTCAAGGCCACTCAAGTAAAAAAAAAAAAAAAAAATTGTCTTTACATTATGGAGGTGGTGATGGTAGTTTTTGTTGTTAAAAAGGTATGATATGTGTCTATTAAAAAATGTTGGAACAAGTCAACATCGGTTGAACATTTTGCCCAGAACGAGATAAACAACGATAACAGCCCCATGGGGCTATAGTTCGCCCGTTTTTGACGGGTCATGTTCACCCGGGGGCGGACTTGCCCCGCATTAATGGGCGAACTTACCCCATTCAATGGATCCTACCTTTGGGGCTCTTCAAAATTATTAGATTTTATTGAAAGTAAAAATACAGGCCCTTACCTGGCAACTTCAGTAAAGTTTAGTGACGACTGTGTTTATCCAACTTGATCTGATTCTATGACTTATCATAATTTATTTATTTATTTTGACATAAGTTTTGTTTTCCTAATTCAGAGTCCGCCTATAGTGTTATCACCAGCTGTTCTACGCTCAGTACACCTTGGTTCAGCTTATGTGTTCCCATTCTTCGTCAGAGATTATTTCGTTGGCTCTAGTTCCTTTAAAATAAATGTTTTGAAGTTTAAAAACACTATATTTGTTTCATGTATTTATTTTCCCTAACAGGGCGTACCTACCCCGCCAAACGGACGAACTGCAGCCCCAGGGTGGGGCATTTTCGCCCTTTTGTCGTAATTACCTTTATGATTAGTTTTTGTGAAAACTGTGTACCTGACCCCAGTGAGAGTGGGATATTAGCTAGACATTACCTATGACTTGATACATGAAAAAGCATGGTCTTCCTGCGTATGAAATGACGGCTCTATAGAAGAGTGATATCAAAAATAGGGCCAACACTCCCCGCTCCCCCCTATAGGCCTAGCACAAGTCAACATCATATTCTGGAGGATAGCTGCGATCATGCACAATATTATTCACTATATTCATGACAGAGATAAATATGATTCATTATTATGGGGAATGATACATTCATTCATCAATATTGTAACGACCTCCCTGAAGTATATGGGGTATAAAACAATATAATCATCATTCCCAGCCAAACGAATGTTTACGGAAGGTAGCACGGTACATTAGGGCCTAATCATGCAAAAGAGATAGCGTCAGGGAATATGAAACCTGTCCTCATTTGATAAAGAAAATTTTGTTCCGGAAATGATCGCAATTACTTGGGACATTAATCTCAAACATGCACATGGACAAATATTACTTGCCGATAACAGCGCATTGTGAACATTGTCAATATTAGTGAATGCGATATAAACAATCAAACCTTGATTATTTTGTTTCTATCAATCATGAATCTTCGATAATCATCTTTATGATTATGATCTTCTTTAATCACTCACTATAATACATATAACCGTATACTAGTGACTTTAACAGAGCTACAAATATTCAATGTGACAAGGAGAATGCTATTACTATGTTGATTGTGACCTGTATCGATCAAAATGAATCATAGAGATGACGCAGAATATCTCCAATTCGACCCAATACGTCGAAAGATGTATAATAATAATTATCCAAACATTAACACATGGGTGCTGTTTGTAAATAATACAGGCCCAAGCACAATTATGCCAGTATTCGGACTGCGTGTTTACATATTTTGAACAGTAGTCCGACAGTAGGCCTATACATTATTATGCATAAATTCAAAATGATGCAATTTGAGCCATCATTTTGAATTACTAATATTGAGTCCTGGCGAAAATTCGATGTATAGATGGAAAGTTCAACCAATAAAAGGAAACATTATAAAAGCTCCGACCGAGTCGTATCTCATAATTTTCTTCCGCTATAATATTCTGTATTAATCCCACTTAAACCCTTTAGTACTGTTCTCACTTAAAACTCATTGAGAAAAGTTAAATCAATACCAGTGCATGGCAATGTTTGGAATGAAATCTGTCCTCGAACCTTTGAACGCAATAATGAGGCCAAATCAATTATTGACTCATTCACCCCCCCCCCCCCCAGGAAAAAAGGCGAACCGCACCCCGGTCACACTAGAGACCGATAACAGACCGAACAAATCGAGCAAAAAATACATTAACCCACAATTGCATTACCCCCCCCCCCCCCCCCTCATACCACGGGGAGGGGGGGAGCAAACTGCACCCGATCACACCAACAAGACCGATATCAAATCGACTATGTACTGACCCAACAAAAAATCAATCCGAATGGTTATGCCCAAGTCACATCAAAAGAGAGCGACACCAGACCAACAACAGAACCTCTGAAAAGAAAATACTTTGTTGCCCATAAATTTTGAATATATTCTTTACCTCTTTCCATGAAATGATTGTGAAAATATGATATATTCATTAATATAATAATAGTTTCATTATCTTCTCTTTTTTGATCAAACTTTATTGATAAATCTTTGTTGCACATTATAGTTCTGAGGAGATACATATTGCATCTATCAATAAAGCATGTTGTCACAATCATTTCATGAAAAAATGTATTAAAATAGTTATCATAACTTTATAGGCAGCAGTGTATCCCTGAATCTGTCGGTTTGACTCGGTGTGCCTGAGGCACTATCAATGCAAATACAATGTATAACCAAGAAGTTACCGACTGTCTCCTATACGCGCTGTTGCATAGCTACATGCCATCGACAAGGCCATTATTCCTGTGAGCAGGGTTCACGATTGTAATAAGCTCGATTTGCGGTGCGATGAGACATTATCAAATATTGATCGAAGATTGGTATCAAATATTCCACCATAGTCTCTGCAAGTGCTAATAGTGCTGCGATCGATTGAAGGTCGCATTGTGTAGGAAGTAACGGTCATTGTCTCTGCCACCTGCGACAGATTTAGGCGCGACTTGTACCTGTGAACATTATTGACAGATATCCACCGATGTTTATGGATCGTTATTTAATCACGTCTGCACACCATATCAGTGCCGCAATCATGTTTTTAACCTTAATTGTTTGAGACGATTTTCTAATAGATGCGGTAGGTCCAGACAGTCTATTTGCAGTTGCCATTAGCAGACTACCACTTTGTACCATGAGACGTAGGAAGAAACCTTTTGATGCCTTATTAACCATCTTGGAGAGTGAAAAGTGAGAGATAATCATCTAAATATTGGTCGGTCGTTTTCTGTCTTCTCTGTTTTCTATTGTGAGATGCCTTCATCTCGCAACAGGTCAAAAGGATATTACCATAATAAATGTGAGTATAAAAGTGTCTGTATATCAAAATAACGCATTCAATTTTGAAATTATACCAAAGTTTTGAAGAATATCATGCAATTTTAGAAACAAAATGTCAATTTTCATTTTATTCCACACCATACTCGATCATTGTATGAAACTTTTAATTCACACTCGATCATTGTATGAAACTTTTAATTCCATGGTAAGAATGTGACACATAATTATGATCAAAATTAAACGAGGCAATCATATCGCCAGAGGGTGTTGGTCGAAAAGAATATTTTGATTAGTCCATCTCTAAATAATTATAGCAAATTCATAGTTGCGAAAATATACTGGTGATGGAGATAATTGTCATTCTCATTCTCATATAATAATTAGCCTGCATTTGTCCGTTTACGAGTGAGAGATAATCGACTTAATTATATTAGTCGGTCATTTTCTCTCTCGAAACACAGGCCTTCATCTCGCAACAGGTCCAAAGGATTTTGCCATCATAGTAAGTATGTAAGTATGAAAGTATAGAAAGTGTACGTGAATCGAAATAACGCATTTAGTTCCGATATGGTAGCAACTGATTACTTTGCATTTTATTCACCATCGCGGCACTTGAATGAGCCGTAAAAAAGGCAAAGAGAGGTAAAAACGTAAGAAGCAGAAAGGGAGAAAAGGACGGAAAAACATTATCCGTAATGAATATATGCACCACAAAAATACGAAGCCTAACGTTTAATTCTGCAGTGAGTATATGGAACATAATTATTATCAGATTATTGCTAGAAACAGTTATATTGCCAGAGGGTGTTGTTTAAAATAAATAATTTGTTGACAGTTCCATCGCACCTCGGTCCACCTATAAATTGTAGCTATTAGTCAATGTTTATAATACTGCATAATTATGGTTGCGATGTATTATGTTAATGGTGATAATTGTCATCCTCAAACGATAAATAAAAGCATCGGCTTGAAAATGAGAAAATGTCCAACGTACTGCACTGTAAGATTACAATACGGGGATTGTACTAAGCTCATCATGTTTTAGTGGTTTTCTTTGTCTTCATTCAGCTGACGAATTATCAATTCATTTGGCACCGAGATTTAAACAAAATTGTTTGCACCTGTGTAGTTAACAAAACAAAACTGAAGATAATGGGAGGGTAAATCATCGTGCCAATTCGTAATCTGGGAGTTATATCTTTTGTTCATTTTGAAATGTTCTGTCAAAGACTCAAACAATGTCATTATCTGGGTGATTGTACAAAGGAAGGAGGAGAAGATGAAGAAGAAGACGAAGAAGAAGAAGACAAAGAAGAAGAAAGGCGATAGCGACATAGAAATCGAATATTTAGGGGCGCTAAAGAACAAAAGTACCATCCATAACTGTTACAAAATTTGGAGAGACAAAAATACAACCCCCCCCCCCCAAAAAAAAAAAAAAAAAAAAAAAAAGGAAAAGAAATTGTAGATCGCATAAGATTGCTTGAGGAAGAAGTACATTTAAAGGAACGTTCGAAGGTGACAAGACAACTTTTGTTTGTTACAAAGTGTCGATGTAATTTTTAATGGGGCATTGTTATCATTGCCCCTTCCTATATTGAGAGTCTTGATTTGGGAATATAGGCTTACTAGGTTTACATTAACGAGCGCGGAGATAATGAAATGGGGGTATATATTTTGGGTTGTTATAAGGTATTAATATGAATAATGATAAATTAAACAATTTCGCTTTGCTTTGTTTCAGGAATCAGAATAATCATGTAAGAACTACCACACTCGACACCAGAAACTAAACGAGCTGACTAAGGAGTGAGCATGACGAACTTCAAACAGCTATCGACCTCTTTCCCCGCTGACACCTCTCCGAAATCGCGGTCGAGCGGGGAGTGGGTGAACCTGTATACTCGCGCACACAGAAGGCGACAGAAGTGCATGCGAGATGCTGAGGTTATGCGGGTTGATGTTTTGAAGCAGCGGGAAAATGAACTGGACAAGTACCGCAGGGAGCAGATAACTGGAGGACCGGCAAAGTCGAGGGTGACGTCATTGACGGTCTCGAAAACTCCAGCAGGTAGATTGATTTTTCGATTTAATTTTGGTTCATTCTCCAATTTACAATACATACAAATATATTATATTTTTTTTTAAAGTAACATACCAGGTATATAAGTGAACAAAGATACCCAAACAAGGCCGAACATTGGGAATCATGATGTATATAGAATATAAATTCATATGAATTTTAAGTATTATTACGGCGGAGGGGTCAATTTAGTAAGGTATCATTTATGATGTTGATATTCTTGTGCCGACTAACTCAGAGCATATTTTTTCGGTTTCGGTGAAATATTACGCATCCCAAATTTTGGGGACGTTTCCCCAAACCGTAAAATCTAGAGGATTTTTTTTTTTAGCGCTTTTCCAATAAGTTTGTTTAGCGGAACGCTTTAAAAATACTGTGAAATACACAAAAAGAGTATTTCTTGAAGGAACAACCTAATTAAACGATACACTTTTCCATAAACTTAGTTTCCAATATGCTTTTAGTTGAAACACGAATGCAATGATATAAAATATTTAAACAAAGATCCTTCTTTAGCTCTTCTATTTTATCATATTTCGATTTTGCAGGGTTCAAGCCATCGACGAACAACTCACGCACAGCGGTAGCCTCCAAAGTTTCTATTCATTCATCATCGTCCCCTTCCCTTTTTCCACTTTCTCCACTTTCTCCACCGGCCCGTCTTAAATGGACGTCGAGTGTCCCGCCGCGGATGCGTAACCCTGGTCAAACAAGTCCGCGTCGGAAGAAACAGCCTCCAACACTACCACCTCTCAGAGGAACCTTACAAACAAATTACATCAACATCGCAAACGAGTATGCGAGTGCCGACCGCCAGACGCCCGATACAACCACAGTTGGGTATAGACTCCCGCGAAAAGAGTGGAGCCCGGCAGACAGCACCCCTAAAAACCTCGAGGGAAACCCGTCACGGATGTGCGAGATATCGAAAATCTGGGAGCATGGGATGTGCATTTACTGCGAGCTGGAGCGTATCGAACAGTCGATCCCGCGACCGCCGCGATCTTTCAAGTGGAGATCAAGGGAGAGAAACGATGGGATAAGTGCGGGTGGTGGTGTTAGCGGTGACGCCGGTGCGTGTGTTGCCGGCGGCGATGGCGTGCTAGATGACGGACTAGGTGGTGTTGGTGACGGACTAGGTGGTGTTGGTGACGGCGATGGTGGTGATACTAGTGACAGGTCTGACTGTTATCGTGAAAGGAGCGACGAACAGGGAGAAAATGAACAAGCTGACGGCAATGATGGCATTGGCGAAATAACGAGTGCAAGCGCACAGTGTGTAATTACAAATGATCGACCGCGCCTTGAATATGAACCGGACGTCGACACACTCTCGAGTAGCGATGAATCAAGCATCGGGGAACACTTCGATGAAACTGATGAAGGAACTGTGGAATGCGTTCCTGTTCCTATTGACGATTGGAGGAATAATGATGACGATGATATGGAAGTTGATTACGACGCCCTGGAACAAATCGCAAAGTGGTATGGACGGTACCCGAGCACGCCCGTTTCTTTCTGGAAGCAACAACGTGTTCAAAGGACGTTCCCGTCGTTCTTTTAGCCACGAGATTGCCAAATCATCAACTATCTGCATGTACGAATGAGCCGGCAACAAATAGTCAGGAACAATTAAGAAATCAAACGTTATTTTTATAGAAGTTTTTGAACACCCTCGCAAACACATGTCCAGCATAACAAATCGTGTATTTCTAAGCTTTAAAAGTGTCCAGACTCCCTGGTATTTGTGATCACTTTGTAGTTTACACTGATTAACCTTATTGTAAGACTACATTGTATGTAGACTTAAAGGTCTAGGCTCAGCTACTCAAGGCATTAGTGAATACCGGTAGGCAATTTTCGTATTGTAATCAATTTGATGCACAAATCTGAAGTGCCTTGTTAAAAATATTTCATTCACTTGTTACAAATAATTGTATTTCAATTGTCAGAATGCGAATTGCATATTTTACGTGTTGTTAGCTAGGGCAAGCCATAAATGCTCGTCCTACCTAGCAACAACTAATGTATGCAATTTGTATTGTGACTATTGAAATACATTTATAAACAGGTGAGTGAAATAATTTGTAGTGAGGAACTTATCACAGACTTGTGCATTAAATGTTATATACCTCACTTAAGTAATCCAGCAATCTGATTGGTCGAAATTGCATTCATAAACTTTAACTGTTCCTGAAAATTCCCGGTAACCATGGTTAAAAAACAGTTCAAAATCCCAATAACCATGGTTATTGGGAAAATAGGTCAGTCTCCATGGTTACCCCATAGGTTTACGTGTTAAAAAATGGTCTGAGCGATCGAGGATACCGTACGTGTGCGAAGAATTGGTCGGTAATTTCAATACAATTGAATCTCGATCGATCTTACCGACAATTTTATCTTGCATTGTTGACATGAAGACGAAAATAAACTTCCAAAAACACAAAAACAACATCTGCCGATAGATCTTGATCTAAGTTCGTGCCAATATGCATTGCAAAAGTAAAAGAAGGGCCCGTTTAATGGAGCAGCAGCGAAGCATCTACCACGCGAAGCCGTTTTCAATCCATTTTAATGTATATATTAGAAAAAACTGCGACAGATGGTGACAGAGCGCGCTGGCCGAGCGGTTATACATCACCTTTTGTAAGCAAGAGATCGAATCCCATCTTCGACAACACCTTTTTTTTATTTTTTATTTTTTATTTTTTAGTCAATTTTTTTTCGGCATATAAAAGTATTAATGACTGCTTTAATATTCGAGAAATAGTTGTTTTTATACGCTCTCGGGAAGGTTACAATTGAGCTATTGCCCTCGGCACGCCTCGGGTAATAGCACAATTCTAACCTTCCCTTGAGCGTATAAAAACAACTATTTCTCTCAAAGCAGTCATTAATACTATATTATTACCTTACAAAAATGGCCAATTGTGCTTAACTGTCAAAATAGTCTGTGCCTGCAGACTGAGGTACTTCACTGCTATAAAATTATACAGATATAAGGAACACAGGCTTAATCCATCTTGATGTTTATCATAAAATAATTTATTCCCACATAGAAATCTCTGAACAAGTTTGTAGCTTGACATAGGATATATTCCACATTTTTGCCTTGATCTATTAGTATTATATTATCACTGAAAGGAATCGGTGAAGAGAATATCTATTATAGAATAAACAATACCAATGCCCCTAATATGTATTTTTTAAAGAGAGACCATTTCCCCCAAATGACACTGAGTATCATAATGCATGGAGGCGATTTTCTATTACATATGAACATGGGTAGCATACAAGATGAACGTTGGTGGCTGCACATTAGATTTAGTACATAGAAGTTCACATAGATAATTCCACTAGCCTAAAGTATACATTTACAGTAATCCTTCACCGAAACCTGCAATGACATATCTTTATCATGAATTTAAGCTAGAAATTAATATCATTATAACCTCATTATTTTCAGTCCAATGCAAGATACTAAAAGCTCAAGTGATACATTTCCTTTCTTAGAATCCAAGAAGCATTGTACATGTATTGAGGTAATGGTGATTCTCTTTTCCAAAGACTGAATACATGTAACATGAAATGTCAAAATTTGTCATTTTGATAAACTTACTAAATTTGAGCTTTCTGACTTATAAGTGTAACTTCTTAACAATCGTTTTCAGTTTTAGGGCACCAATTTTATCGCCAAATGCACATATCAAAATGGAATTTTTTTTCAGCCAATCTTACAATACAATGTCAAACATACTTTTGTGTTTCAAATTTAACGTCAGTGATTCATTGTCTCTCTTCACTTATCGCAATGCAAAAAGAACTGGGTGGTTCCTATTATACATGTAAGCCTAGCGAGGGGAGATGAGAGGATTCAGTAGTCTCAAGGTTGACATTTTGGATTACCTAGCACATTACACTCGTCATTAATATAAATTTGTAGCATTTTCTGACTGTTCAGCAAAATAAAACCTCAATAGGTCTACAATATTTTTTCTGAGTACTTGCCATAATGATGACTTTTTCATATGCAAAGCATATTCTTTTTCGATTTCTGTCTGTGTATGTATATATATATATCTGAATATCTTTCTCTTTCTAATTATTTCGCACAAAAGACAAGGAGAAAGTTGAATACATAAAAATAGTCTTAGATTACATTCGGCTTGCATAGTCAAAATATGTATCAATTCATACAATTTGACCCAAATTACATTATCAAAATGTTCATTTCTCAAATTTAAAAAAACAGTATCCCCAATTCAAACACCATTGCGATTGGGGCACTGAATATCGCTCTATTCACACAATGATGAAAAATGCATGGTTATATTTGACTGAAGCCTTGAAAGATTTGTCCAATTGGTAAATATTAATTTTGATATGTTGACAAAATCGATTTGGGTTCTATGACTCATGCTCCGGCGAAAATTGTTTCCAAGCCGACTTCCTACACTAACCAACTCCCTACCTTCAAAAATGGACCTAAAACTATACATACATTCCGATAACTGTAAACAAAACCTAAAGCCCAATCGCAACCTTAAACATAACCTTGTATCCTGGAGGAACTTAAACCAGGAGCAACTAGCTGGAGCATGGGTCAGATCAACTAAGTATGAGTATCGGGTAGGATTGATGAGATGCGTATAAATGATGTTAGCTCATCATTGACCCGATTTCACTCCTTCCCAAATAATTTATCTCCTGTATTTCACATACTGCAGCAATACATAGTCATCTGTTTTTTTATATCTAGTTTGTCGTAACTGGACTGCACAAAATCACATTTTCAGCTGAAATATCACTGATACTGTTCATATCATGATAATCAACCTCCTAAAATTTAGACACCACTGTTTTTATGATTAATATCTCCTTTATTGCTAAACGATACCATTCACCATTATTTTCCACTGAAATCCCACGGATGTTAGGGCAAATCCAAGCTATTTTGTCCCATCCTTTACTGGTCACATCTAAGACGTAGGTATATCTGATCACTGTATTCAAGAAGTTAATAGCCCTACGAGAGCTTGAATCAAACCAAATACAAAGAATACAGACATATATCTGATATTAATTCATGTTCAGGACTCCACAATACTTGGTAATATATGGGTCATAGATAGATCGCATAACCTGGACTTGCCCTTGTATTTCAGTTCCATTTTTTTCCCTATCAAATCCTCTTTGCTGATCAGAGGGGCATGTTGGCATGTTTCTTGGGGGGATTGCTCTGCTGCTTGCCGGCCAGGAGGTCGAGGTCGCGACAGATTCGCTTCCGGGTCACGTTGGGAGAAATGATGTCATCAACAAATCCTGTGATTGAGAAAGAACAAAATAAAGTGAAATGAGTGACACCTGTATATTAAGGGTATAGACCAGTTCTGGTCATGTGATTGCATTGTGAAAGAAACGTAGTGGAATCGATCAGAAAAGTATTGTTGTGTACTGCAAGGTTCTGGAATCATCAAAATGATAAGAAATTTGGCCCAGTCTTGGTAAAGTTACAAGCACTATATACAGAAAGATGTATATGGGACTACCCTATATCTATTCAGTCCAGATAGATATAATAATTTACCAAATATATCAATTATCTTGTATTAGTCAAAACATTCTTTCACATGATTGGTATTAAGAGCTTCCATTTCATTTTTTGAGCGGTGGGCGTTTCCAAAACTGGCCTTTTCCTTTAAGACCTCTCAAGGAAGACAAAAAGTCAGATTTTATAGGCGGATGGTCGTTAAGTACAGGTTTCAATGAGAAAGGATTTTCAAGTGAAATAAGAAATGCAGTCTTTATTGACAAGTGATATTTCTATTTAAATTAAACTTGAAGGTAATACATAGTTTTGGTATGGGTTCATGAATTTGGTTCAAATGAACATATTAGAAGCATAAGCGATCCTACAATATTCAGTGATCGTTGTCATGGTTGAAATCGAGTCTAAAGTTATGAAATTGTAAACAATAAACTCTTTATGTTTTATAGCTCCCTCTCAAGATCAAGATATTAATTAAGCTATAAAATAATGTTTCTAAACTAAAATCGACCAGTTAGCTATTCCCGTTTGGAAATTATATATCACAACTACATATTCTAAGATTTTAACGGTCGCAGCTACCATTGTACAGCCGTAGGCGATATTTAAAATTTGTACAAATATACCGGGAGCACCGGTAAATTTTTATATTCAATTTTTCTTGAAAGCAGAAGTGTTTTAGGGGCTTAATTTTCTAATGCTTGTAATACCTCCACAGAGGCATCCAAATATATCAAAATTGTAAAGAATCACTTTCCACCCAATTTTCAAAATTTCCCAAAACTCTGTATTACCTTTAAGATAATAATCAGCGGGGTATATTTGTTTTTTTCCTAGAGAGAGCCTTTTTTTTCCTTCCTGATACAGGAAAGTTTATATAATTATACAGTGTAAACTTTTGGATATATCCGTTTGCAAATAGAAACACAAATAAAAATGGTTAAATAATCTAATATTCTATATAACATCCCCTAAAGAAATTAAGAATCTGTATGTGAGAAGGGTATTGAATCAGTGATTCATTTATCAACTAGGGTCCATTTTTCCCAATGGTTAGGAACCTACCTCTTGTTGCTGCAGGGAAAGGATTAGCAAATTTATCGACGTATTCCTTCTCTCTCTCAGCTGCCTCTTGGCCGTCACGGAAGATGATCTTCACGGCGCCCTGGAAGGAGATTAAAAGAGGACACATTGGTCAATCACACATGCCAGCATCATCTATGGAATAAACTGCCTCAACATATTTGTAATATTTCAGATGTTACTTGTTGAATTTTATAAGGAAAATTCAACTATTATTGTATATGACTTGGTATGATTAACTTGGCAAAACTGCGTCTCATGAACAGGTGTTATTATTAATATACAGAGAAAACCAGTACCTTTTCCCTTCCTTTTTTTCTCCCATTCTTTACTAGTAAATATTAGAAAAAAATAAGTAACTCAATCAATCAATCAATAAGTTGCAGCCCTACTGGGCATATCAAAGACAAAAAGGATACGCTTTGAAAATATCCATCAAAATTTTTATTTCATGATAAACCCAGTATCTGCATGAATTTTATTTTGAAAGAATGGGGAGGGTCTATTCAATCAGATGGCACTAAAAGTATAAACAACAATTGTTGTACATATGCACTGTATATCAATTCATGTTTACCAGGCATTTAGCATGTATAAAAATGTATAATTTAAAAGATGATTTAGAAACAAATAAATCAAAAGCAAATCAAAAGCAAATCAAAACAGAAACTTTACAACATCTACTATTTAGTAATTTCTCTACTTACTGCCGCTCCCATAACTGCTACTTCAGCAGTAGGCCAGGCGTAGTTGATGTCCCCTCGTAAATGTTTGGAGCTCATCACGTCATATGCACCACCATACGCCTTTAAACAAAAAGAATAAACAACAAGTGTTGTATAAAAAGGAAGTTGTATTGACCGTACCTGATTTTTGACCCGCCGTTAACAAAAAATTCTTGACTACCTTCTTATCAGCATGTTCTTACATGAAAACAGCCAAGTTCAGAAGGAAATTGAGGTGATATATAAAAAAGTAAAAAAGGATGAAAACCATGCTTTTAGAGCTCACTCAAACTTTACTGAGTTTCATTGTAGGTTTCACCAGGGTTTTTGCTCTGAAACAAACGAAGACTGGCTAAGGAATCAGCGATTCATCTAAATATAGATTTAGAATCATATTCAAGAAATGATTGTATGTTTGATGTAAATTTGCATTTTTAGTCTTTGGACTTTTTGACAAGTCTTGAATAAAACCTCATTTGAATTGAATTGAAGAAAAAAAAAGCTTGTACAGACCTGATGCTGGTTGAAGCATACTAAAGTATGACTTGATATTTTATATTAACCTGGGAATATTATCCAAAGAAACCATTGTAGTACTGCGTTAGTTCATACCTGCCTTGTAATAACAGTGATTTTAGGTACAGTGGCCTCTGCATATGCACAGAGCAGCTGACTTCCTTCAGACATGTACAAGGACTTTACCTTTCAATTTTCAAGGGATGGGGTTGTCTTGGCTGTTTTGGAACTAGGCAAGGGTATTTGGTGTGATCATAAATGATGCCTCTGCATATGCACAGAGCAGCTTAGCATCATTTCTGATCATACTTCATACCCTAGGCTAGTTCCAAAACAGCCAAGACAACCCACTTCTGGAAAATGGACAGGTGAAGTCCTTGTACATGTATGACGGAAGGAAATCTGAATTCGCAGTTGGTTCTCACCTTTCTCGTGATAACAGTAATCTTAGGTACAGTTGCCTCTGCATATGCACAGAGTAGCTTAATATCATTTCTGATCATACCCAATACTCTAGGCTAGTTCCAAAATGACAAAGATAGCCCAAAACAAACAAAAGAGAAGCCCTTGAACATATGAAGGAAGACAGGAGTTTGTAGTTGGTTCTCACCTTTCTAGTGATAACAGTAATTTTAGGTACAGTTGCTTCAGCATAGGCATAGAGAAGCTTAGCACCGTGTCTGATGATACCACCATACTCCTGGCTAGTTCCTGTTAGGGGGAAGACATCAATATATGCAAACAATATAATAATCTTGTCGATGACCACTGACTTAAAGACCGTCAATACTACTGGGCCAGAAGGGATTAGACCACACAGCGAGGTCACTGACAGGTGGCTATCTCATTAACTCAGCTCTCAACTAACATAAGAAAAAGAGAATCATGGGGGACCAACAGGCACCGATGAGGGAAGTTTTCTATAAAGAGGGAGCAAGTAGCTACAAGTAGGACAGTGGGGCTTTAAGACTTAACTCTGTTCCGTTGACGATCAGCCATGCATCAGGTCATTCGTCTTCTTTGTGCACGGCTGATCGTCAACGAAACGGAATTAAGTCTTTTGTCAACTCTGTTGCTACAGCAGGCAGCCAGTAAAAACGAATTCGTTTACTAGAATTATGGAAATGCAAGCATTACTTGAAACAAACAGAACTTTGTTATTCCTGGCTCAATTTTCCTTTATAATGAACTTTCTAGAAATTTCTCTTTGAAATTCTGATACTGCCCGCCAAATGACTTTTTGGTACCCTCTCTTCAAATTGTTTTTATTCACTCATGCATGAAATATGCATCAGATGAGTTGCATCAAATGAAAGAGGAGGATCTAAGCTTTACAAATATATGTCATTTATTAATTATAATTTTGATTTAGCTATGATAAACATTGATAATTCTCGGTCTCGTTTTTTCTGGGACACACTGTATGCGTTTAAGTTATGCAAAGTTCATGAATAGCTGCTATTTCTCACGAAAATGAGCAGGCAATACCTAAGTAAACATGAAAAAAAGAAGCCTGTGTTAATTTTTTGCAAAAACAACTTGCAAGATATCTGTGTCCCTGCCATCCGAGAAAATGATCTGCATGTCACAATATCAGCTAATATTCTATGCACGGGAAGAGGAGTTAATCTTGTACTTACCTGGTAGGAATCCTGGGACATCCACAAACGTTATCAGGGGGATGTTGAAGGCGTCGCAGAACCTCACAAAGCGGGCTCCTTTCACCGATGAATTGATGTCCAGGCAACCTGCAAGAAAACAGTGGAATATATGCTTGCTAATGGACCTGATTGATCGACTGACTGACCTCTTAATTCATTTATTTATTATTTGCCATTTGTGTATTCTTATATTCTTAGCTTAGCACACAAAGAACTAACCTTTAGTTGCTCACCATTTCTACAAGAAATTATTACACAGATTCTGTTTCATGATGACCTATGTTTGAATACAAATATTCCAAAGAAGTGCCATTGCCAAAAAAAATATAATAATTAACAGTGGCAGATCCAGGATTCTCTTGCCCAGCGAATTTAAGCGATTGTTCCTGACCTGAATTTCAAATAGAACTGGGATGAATGACTAAATCACAAGAATTTGAACTTCATCAAAACTATGATCCAGCTCAATTTGGAACAGAACAGTTAACTGTATACATTCAACGACGGGAGGTGCGATAGCTCAGTTAGTAGAGCAGTTGTCTCGTGGTGCGGCGACCCGGGTTCAAAACCAAGGTGATGCGCTAGTGCCCTTTGGTAAGGCATTAATCCTCATTACCAAGTCTCTCAGAGAGGACCTAAAGCCGTCGGTTCTCTGGTTGCTTACTTACAAGCTTACAAACAAGTCAGGTAAAATAATAACCACTACACAACAACAACAATCACATGAAATACGGTAAACTGACCTGATGCGACCTTGGGCTCATTAGCCACGATGCCCACCGTTCGTCCATTCATCCTGGCAAAGCCGACCAGGATGTTCTTGGCATAGGCTGGCATAATCTCAAAGAACTGTCGGTTGTCCACCGTCTGCAGATTTCAAGAAAATTACAAGTGTTGCGATGAAATTATCCATAAGTTATTAAGGATTAGGGATTAGTCAAATTCAATAATAGTTTTTCTATACCACAGTGCTGTCTGAACAAGCGAATAACAATAGCAGAGTAAAGAAAATTCTGGCGTACTGTAGCCCTTTGTGGATTTTTTAGAGTCCAAGAGAGATTTCATCACATTGATACTGATGTATTTCAATTGTGTCTTACCAGACCTCTTTTGGGGCTTTACAGAGCTCATTCACTTGCTGTTTCTATGTGTTTGTTTTTTGTTTTTCTTCATAGTAACATTACGATACAAACTGCCGAGAAGCACATATTAACTAAAAGTACATACATAGATATGCATAAATGGGGCAAGTATTTAAAGCTGATGGTCACTGTACTATATCTTTCATTTAGCTCAACAACGACTGAAATTTTGAATTGGCAATTTCAATTTAGAAATCCCTACGGAGGAAGTTCTGGGCCCTGTCTTTTAAGAGTTGATATCGATCGCAACTATGTACATAAGAGATAGGAGACTGCCAACTTGCGATTGATTGGAGTATTTACGATTGATTTGGATCAATCGTAACTCTTTGTTAGACGGGGCCCTGAACTATGAATCATTGCAGAGAGACATTACCAAAATATTTGATTAAAATAGGGGATTTCCCCAAAACTTACTGCAAAGATGACATCTTTCATACTGTACGGCTTGTTGGATTCTAGAGGTACTATGTTATCTAAGATTGGTACTAGACGATCCCTGTCAAGAGAAATGAATAAAAAAAATAAGAAAGAAACATATTAATATTTGTTACTTACAGCATATTTCTATTTGTTTATATTAATAAACCGGTATGTTTTGTTGACATTGGTGAAAAAATAATAACAAAAGAAATAGTTATAACATCTAAATTGAATGGGAAAGATTTGAAATATTGAAAATGAATTGAAAATTCAAAAACTGAACTGAATTCATGACCTAAACATGTAACATTTACCAGAATACAATCATGTAGGGTAAGAAGCAAACCTGCCGGGGAACTTATTCTGTAATAACATAAATATGAAGAGGACACATTTGCCCACATACCAATGCTAATGAGGCTACTTCTTCAGTTGAACCAAAAGCAAGGACCAAATAATGATTAACAATTGGAAAACTTAATCTTTGGTCTAAAATTTTCCAGTGATATAATCAACTTTAAAACACAGCATTGGGTCAAATTTTTCAGTAAAGTGTGGACTATAAACTATATGCAAAACTGAAACAAGTTGGTCTAATGTCCTTGGTACGGTCAGCTCTCTGTCTTCGCCTACCAATTGACTCAGCGAAGCCCGGTTTAAGACAGAGTCATGTCTTTCAGATGGGTGACGTTAAAGGTCGGTCCCCAAATGTAAATAATCATATCCAAATGGCACTCACATTTAACTAAAGGCATGGTGTAACAATGTTTTCAGTTTTAGAAATCTAGATGCATGGCTCTACGTGTTATCAGTGCCTGTGATATGGTGTAATATTGATGCCCTAAAAATTGTGCTTCAAAATGATCATAAAGTGCATCAAAAATATGTACAAAATCTTTGGGTGACCGGGTTTATCAAACTCATTTTCCCCAGTAGACTGTAGTGTTATAAAAACCATTGGGGAAAACGTTTTTGGAAATTCCAATCGTTAATATCTTGATAATCAAACATGCAAATTGCTTGTAAAAGTCATGGCATTCCTGACTGACATAAAGGTTTATCATTATGATTGAAGCATGAGCTAAACCCAGGATTTTGTTTAGAATCTGAGGCAAAGATACCCAAGTCACTTTAAACAAAGCATGGAAAATTAAAAAGGAAAATCAAATCCTGACCCACCTTGGATCTTCACACTGAATGATGGGCGCACTATCCCTGTTGCTGAGGGGTAGGTAGCTGAAGAGTTGTCTCATCTTAGACAGGGAATCTATGTCATTCTCAAAGGCACCATGAGCTACACCTGAAATTCAAAGGTTTCACATGTTGGTTGGTTGGTTGGTTTGTGTGTTTTACCTGACTGGTAAGAAAACATGTTTTTGCTTCTAAGTAAGAAACAAGGGGACTGATGGCTGTAAGTCCTCTTTGAGGGACTTGGTAATGTGCACAAATTAGTTTCTAATCCGGGACTTCCTGGTTACGAGACCACTGCTCTACCAATGAGCCATCACACCTCACCCAAATAGGCTTGACCTACCTAGCAACACTTAATATATATACAGTTTGCATTCTGACTATTAAAATACTATTATTCTTATCAGGTGAATGAAATAATTTGTATTGAGGCACTTCACAAAGACTTATGAATTAAATTTGGTTACAAAAATGGCATATTCAATGAATTCATGCCACAGCAAACAGCATATTAAACACATCAGAAAAGAGAAAAGACATTGTTATCACACACCCTATTACCAAAGTGGTATGTGGAACTAACCTGAGATTGTTGTATGTGTTTTAGCCCCACCTAACTCTTCGTAGGTTACTTCTTCTTGTGTGACACTCTACAAACATGAAACAACAAAAAGTAGTCAAGAGTCTGCAAATCATCTGTTTAACTACATGAACTGAGCTTCATCAATGAACACAAATATCAAGCAGAGATTTATGAATTACTATTTTCAATCATCTACGGTAGTAAGATGCATTTTAAAGATACTATGTCCCTTTTGCAGCCAACATCAAATTCTGTAGAACTTTTCAGGAATTAAGAATATGTCATGAATGCACTATCTGTGTAATTTAAATGTTTGCAGTGTCCTAATATTCAAATTATGCAAGGAAATCGTTTATTTGCTAGACTTCACTGTCAGACACTAATGAGTGACTGACTGGCTTTTTTTCTTCTTTGGTAATAACATAGTTTACATAAAATAAGCTGTAAAGGGTACATGAGCATATGTCTACATCAATACCCCACTTCTTGTAATGGCCAAAATTAAACTAATTGAATCTTTGTGCAGCATAAAACGTACGACCATTCGGTACAATGGTCTGAAAATCAGACTATTACTTAATGGCTCTATACCTCTTCAGTCGTTTCAACTACTAATAGTCGTTTTTTTCCCACTTAAAGATATTTTAAAGCCCCACTTTTTTTAGGGAAGTTCTTAATTAGTATTATCTTTCAAATGCCGTTGGAATTTAACCTTTTCATTTTTTGGGCCTGCAAATCGGACATAGTACCTTTAAAGTAATAATAGATGCAGTATCTACTATCAAAAAGAAACATAATCGAAATAATACAATAGGACGAAATACATTCCGGGGACACCATTGTGATGACACTGATTTCCAATATGTAAATTTGTAGTAAATTATTTAGGATTCCATATATTTCTTTCAAGTTGGTGCAAACATTGTTGCATGATTCTTAACAAGGAGGGATCTCAATATTTTCTGAACGTAAATCATTTGATTTATATTTAGTTTGAGCCTTTGAGGAAGGCGGAAATGAGCAGGAGGAATAAGATAGCACTTCTCACCTTCACTACATCTGGTCCGGTTATGAATAAATATGATGTATCCTGTTGAAATACAAATAAAGAGAGACAATTAAAAATAACGTTCACCCACACATAATATCTTCTCACCATCACACAATTTTAAGGCTTAAGGCTGAAATTTTTAGCGACTGGAAAAGAGGAGTAATTGGTGAATAAATCTTGATCTTGAATCTTTATGAAGCAGAAATATTTTTCAATGTGAACACGAGTAGAGTTGTTGAAATGTAAGAGAACAATTTCATTTGTTAAAAGTTTCGGAGTACAAATATTTTTTTCTTTTCGAACAAGAATATTTTTGTCTTACCTTGACCATGAATGTAAAATCTGTTAGGGCAGGAGAATAAACTGCACCACCTGGGAAAGAAGAACGGATCAATTATAATTAAAAAAGCAAACTATACAAAATAGAAACAGAAAAAAGAAGGACAAAATGAAGTAGAGTTTTTTTTTTTAAATGAGAGAAGGGAAGATGGATGTGTAATTCTACTTTTCCCATCAGTGACCTTGTAAAAGAAAAGATTTATTTATAACTTATCTGGTATGTACGGAAAATTTGATATTAAGTGGCAGTTAGTACAATTTTTATTTGTAAAAACGAAAGATATATTTAAAATTTATCGGGTATGTACAGAAAATTTGATATTAAGTGGCAGTCAGTATAATTTTAATGTGTATAAAAAAAAATGACACACCACCTTGTATTACCGAGTGAGTCAAACATATGTAAATTTACGATTGCTTCATTGTTGTTTTGACTTTATCTAATAAAGTTGCCTGTGGAGGCCTAAATATATATATTTTTTTTTAAAACATACCTGCACATGGTCCCATAATGAGGGATATTTGGGGTATAACACCAGAAGCCATCACATTTCTCTGCAGAAAGTAAGATAAAATACAATATAAATGTCATTTCATTTATTTCATTCTCCATAAAAAACATTAAACATACAAACGTGATATACAGATAAAAGATCGATTACAAGAAAAATACAAAGGGAAGGAGCAAACAAAATTTTATGGGAATGTGGGGTTAACAAAAAGGCCAATTAGCCTTATGAACGTCAACCCCTTAAAAAGTATACACTGTATTGTTGAGAAAAGAAAACAAGGAAAAGGAAATGTCAATAAGTTGTCAACAGGCTGAACAAAAAGCAAGGATAGTTCCATGGTAAGAGACTTGATACAGATACTAGAAGGTCTAGGGTTCAATGTCTATTAAGACATCTTCTTCTTTTAAAATATTTTAAAAACACAATTGAACAATCAAATAGTTTTGATAACATACTGCTAAAATTCATATCATCCCCCAAAACAAAGATAAACACATACAATTATCAACTACATTAGTCACCCCCCTGGGAAATTTGATGTCTGTTGTGTTCTTTGTAAGTCGAGAATGAAAGGTGGACTGGTTGAATTAGGGTTTTTGATGAATACTTGTAGATGTAAGCTTTAATAGGTGACATCTTCAAGAAAAATAAGTCCGGATAATTCAATTTTCCACATACTTCAAAAACTTACAAAACTTGGTAGGGGTATGAATAATTCAGTTGTTAACCGTGTATATTTTGGTGAAGGAAACCTGATAGCAACACTTCCTCTGGAGTATGAATGTCAGAAGACACCTGGGGCCAGTTTCTCGAAACCGTCATGAATCTAAGTTCATGGACATCCCATACATACACGTCTTAATGGGATGTCCAAGAAGTTGGACTTACGACGGTTTCGAGAAACCGTCTCCAGGAGCAGACCAATTACCTGGAATATATCAGCATAACCAGCCAGGGACTCCACGCCTTCTTGGATGCGGGCCCCGCCCGAGTCGTTGAGACCAATGACCGGTGCTCCCACCTGCATGGCTTGGTCCATCACCTTACAAATCTTCTGGGCATGGGCGCTGGAAAGTGACCCTCCGTGGACAGTGAAATCCTGGATGGGAGAGAAACCACCATGGTGTTTTACAAAGATCCTAAGTTGAACTTAACAATTATTTAAATCTTTGAAATTATTTTGTAAAAGTTATTTTGAAAGGCATAAAATGTTGATTCAAATCATTCATATTTTTCTATTATCAAGGAGCTTACATGTTCTTGATGTGGAATTTATGAAAAGTCTAAAATACTTGTACATGCAATTTTTATATTTACCTGACTGAAAATGTATGTGATTCTTCCATTGATGAGACCATGTCCTGTTACTACACCATCGCCTGGAAACTAAAATGAAGTATTAGAAACAAGTTTATATGTATAATACACCTGCATCAACCTAATTTGTCCTCTTTTGCACTTCAAAACTACTTGAAGAAAAATGAACATTGATTTGGACCAAATACATTCACCAAGAAAAGGTGATGATGATCCTGATCATCATATCATTATCATCATCATTATCATTATAATTATCATCATCATTATCATTATAATTATCATCATTAATATCATTACTATTATTATCATCATTATCATTATTAATATCATATCATATTTCATCATTATTAAAATAATATCATCATCATCATCTGATGAACACGAGTGAGGTAATCCTGTAGATCTCTCGGTCGTCTTCAAAAAATATAAATTCAATTGACAGTTCGCGACTTAAACAGAGTGCAAAATGGGTCATAAATTAATTAATTAATTAATCATCATTAATTCATTATTATTTGTATTGCTGTTGTTATCAAGCACAACAGACCCTTACAGCCCCACTGTCCTACTTGTAGCTACTTGCTCCCTCTATATAGAAAACTTCCCAATCGGTGCCTGTTGGTCCCCCATGATCCTCTTTTCTTATGTTAGTTGTGAGCTGAGTTAATGAGATAGCCACCTGTCAGTGACCTCGCTGTGTGGTCTAATCCCTTCTGGCCCAGTAGTATTGATGGTCTTTTAAGATTTAACTATAACCATTTCTATCCACCTACTTTCTTGTCATCAGCATCCATGCCAAAGTCGGAGCACCTGTGCTCTGCAAACATGTCATACTCGATGAAAGAGCCTGGATCTAGCAGCAGATTGACCCTCTCTCTTGCAGTCAACTTCCCCTGATAAAGATAATGTACATGTACTTGAAGTTTACTTTCTCACAGAGGACTAGACTTTTCAAAGTGTCTGAATTAAATTATGACTCCTAAAATTGGAATGAATTACAATTTTACTTCAACAATTATCATTCTGCTACGAATATGTTAGAGTTAGACTAGAGCAAAACAATTAATAGTGCCATTCAGTAGGGGCGCTGGTCCGGGAATAAGGATCGTCCGCATAAACAAAGATCGTCTTCGTAAACACAGACAGCTCAAATGCGTCCAAAAAACTAAGGACCGTTGGTATTTTTGTGGACGATTCATATTTCCAACCCGCAAGTTGGCGATGCCAAAAAACAGATTCCATGATGGTGCTCCTTAAGGCATTTCATATTCACTTTGCACAGAGACTTTTGCGTTACGATCGATAAATCCTCTGGAAAACGGACAACTCATACAAGTCGACGATGAACTAGGGGTAGGGTGTCTGAACGATTTTTCAATTTTCAATTTGGGATCGTTTTTCACCATTTTTGTTTGATATTTGAATAAAAGATGTTATCAGAATAATACATTTCAAATTTCAAGTCTCACCGATGTTTCTATCAAAAGTTACAGCCCCTCCAAAACGCTGGTATATTCATATCATTTTGGTCAAAATCGACGAAAAAGACGTCTACGCAGAGTGATGTTGTTTTGCTAAATTTAGTCAAACAGCTGTATCGCGCGATATGCAAGCGTATGCATATCGTACGCATGCTGCTAAGCCAATCCGCGACTTGCAGCTTGAGCTACGCTGTCTCCGCGACATGTGCCATTGACTAGTATGGTTGGCGTTCGTCGCACAATAAACCCGGAAGTGAATGCACGTTATAGTCAATGGCAATATCGCGGAGATGTCTCCGCGATATTGCCATTGACTATAACGTGTATTCACTTCCGGGTTCTATGCCGCGAATGGCCACCCATACTTGAATTTGGGGTTTCGTTCGTGCGCGGAGATGTTGCGCGATGTAACCATGGTTTGGACTGAGCGGAGCGCACGCCCCCTAATTAGCTGATCCACCAAATAGCGAGAAGGGTATTTTTAAACTGTTATCAGTTGTGATCCCTGGGGGCTAGCGAAAATATAAGCACATAGAATTGTTCCTTAGGACTGGGACTACTTATCGATTGGGGCGTCATATCTCAAAAGTGACAAACCTCAGAGTTAGCCAGGACACAATGTTTCAATTGCTGTTTTGACCAAGATATTTTTAGAATTTCGGGGGCTACGCCCCTTTAGAAATATTGGAATTTACCTGCTCTTTCATATGACACCTCATTTATTGATTATCACCTTCAGGATCACAACAGATAAAGGTTTGAATCTCGAATTGAAAAAAAAAAATTGACTTTTTTTGCATGGTCGCGCAATGCACGTAGACTGCATAGGGGTGCGTGTAATCTCTATGGGAAGAATTTTAGCACACAACATCGGGTGCGCGATCAGACACCCTACTAGGGGTATTTTTATTACACAGAATCCGTTTTTTGCATCGCCAGCACGCAGATCGGAAACCCTACACCCGCAGAGCACCAAAGAAGAAAAAAAAGTCCGCAAAAATGCAGACGATCCTTACTTTGTACTTGTACAATTGTATTTGTAGTCTAAGTTGTAGGATGCGATTTGTCTGCATTTAATTTAAGAGGATATCCCTGTTTATCATTTTTTATGCCAACGATCCTCATTCTTGGATCAGCGCTCGTACGGTCAAAACATACATTATACTTTAGAGTCTATGATACAAGTCAGACAATTGCCTTGCATAATCAACTCATCTCTGAGATTTGTTACTGTTCGCGACTTCGCGTTCGCCTATTCCTAATCATGAATCATAAACTAAGCTAAGAGTAAGACGTGGGTGCACATAAATGTATGTATGGGACCACAATATCCAGCTCACCCTCTTATGTTGGGCCTCTATTCTGTGTTTTCCGCCTCCAAGCAAAGCTTGTTGTCTCTTTTCATCTATTCTTCCTATGACATCTGTCATAGCAGATACAGAACTGCAGTGACGTTTTGATATAGCTGGCCATCTTGACAGTATAACACTGTTTTTGACGGCCAAACAAATTCTTGAAACGTGAGCACTGGCCATTTTGATTCACTTCCGGTTCCATGGAAGAAATTTTACATTATCTCACAATAAATTTAATTTAGAACCCTAAAATTGTTCAAAAACAATTTATGTTGCTATTTATTAAATATGCAGTACATAACAAATTATATTTGTACTATGATTAACATTGTAATTGTTTCTTTCCAAGGGTTGTGTGGGTCAAAGTTCAAATTGTGACGTCAATAGCACCGGTAAACACATCGATTTACGGCTTTATTTTATGGTATGTGACGCTTCTCCTGGCTTAATCTGGGTTTGCTCGCTGAAACACACCAAAATCGGGTTTTAAATCCTACTTTTTCATTTAAAGTGTCGATATGAATGCTACGGCGCTCTATGTGTCTACATGTAGATACATTTTGCAAGCAGATTTCGAAAATGGTGAATCTTGGGGAGATCTCTATCGCTTATTGCCCTATCTCAGACAGTCTTTGTCATGTTGCGTTTGTGGATCACTCTTAAATGACCCTTTGGGACCAACGGATTCGAATTGTCAACATTTTGTTTGTCGGACTTGTGTAGGTGGCAAAATGCTTCTTAAGCCAACATGCAGTTGGTGTAAAAATTACGAGAAATTTGCCGAGGTGCGACAACTCAGAATACTGTTATCTTGCTACAAGAAACTATGCGAATACATAGCAGCCACACCCATCGCGCGAAGCTTTATCGGAGCGAACGGCGAATCGAACAGCACTTTGACTATCCTGGAAGAGGGAATGGCGATCAATGCGGTCCATGAAAGCAGCAGCGCCGGCCAGGATAAGAATCTGAACATTCTGGACATCTTAGCAAGGGTTAATAGCGAGAAAACTGGTGACGCTAATTCCAAATCACCAGGACGACGCCGTGGGCGACCCCGACGGGACAGAGACGGCTTGGGGGCTTCCCCAAACCCGCATCTATTCGGGAACCCGGAAGTCCCGTCGCATGGGTTGTACTCGCCTTTACTTTTAGATGGACTTTGCAACGGCATTGACAGTTCAGATCACCTTGATATGACGAGTAGTGACCACTCCATTTACAGTGCATCATTTTCTCCTTCTGGCTCTCCTCGCATCAAAATAAAACGCAAGCGCCATAGCAATGAGCAAAAGGACAAAATCAAGAAGAAGAAAAAGAAACATGACAAAATCAAAGTCAAAGAGAGGAAACTGATTAAAGAGCAAGCAAAGCGAACAACTGACCGAAAAGCAAGGAGTGAGAGGAAAAAGAAGAGGCATAGGTATCGAAAAGAAAGCGAGGATAGCACATTTGATTATGAAAAGGAGAAGCTTGTGAACGGGGATGGAGTGTCCAGTTCGCCTGAAGAGGACCTAGAGCCTTTAGAGGACACACCACCAAAGAAGAAGAAATCGGTCATAACATCAGTCGTGATTTCTGGACACAGAGCAAAACTGCTGAAAATGGGACGATCTCTACCAGTGATAGAGGGGTGCAGGTGTGGAACCTGGGGGAAATCACCAGGAGCCAATACCTGCAAAGGGAACAGGTGCCCCTGCTTCATGACTGAGAAAGGCTGTCTGAGATGCAAATGTAGGGGATGTCGGAACCCTTTCATCGTCCCAGAGAGTCCTAGCCCAAAGCCGAAAAGGTATCGCCATTCTTCCAGGAATGAAGTTAATGGTGAAAGTGAACTGGACATTGATGTTACTAATATGTAGACTCCAATTTTGTTATGTTAATCGGTAATCTGCAGCAGTTTCTGTTCATCTGTAGATGTCTTTGTTTTGGTGCGTGATAAAAATGAATCTTGTCTTTTGTTAAAGAAATTTCACTGCTGATTTGTTATATCTTAGTACTTAATAAAATAGAATCTTTAGACCTCATCATAGGCCTACACGTTAAATTTGGGAAACAGAATAGTTGGCTTAACATTATATTGTGTTTGATATGTTTAACTTGGTCCTACTGTACTGTATGTCATTCATTAAGCTGGATTTTGTCAGAAATTATGCAAAGTAAATTGGTATTCATTATTCACGGCTATAAGATTTTGTTCATCTATTGAATTCTTCAAATTAAAGGTAAATTGCAAGTCTATTCGGGATCTAGGTTTGAGCCTGAGACAAAATTGTAGGTTTCTGGAAAGCCTGGGATCCAAATAAGTATCAATCAATCTTCTCGATCTTATTTTGCAGTGCGTCTTTACAATACATAAATTCCTTGTCACGACTGCTAATCTTTGACTCATTTTCTGCAATACATTTCTTTTGATCAGCAATTTTTTTTGTTCAGTTCAGCTCAGTATGGTTCAGTTGAGTCAAGGTCAGCAGTCTGCTTTACAACCTGTGCATTGCGATCCCTGATTTTGTTCTGCTCAGCTGCTGAAAGAGAGCTGGAAACTTGCTCGGCATCAGACGCGTCATCATCGTTTTTCCCCCTCTTGCGTATTTTCTTGACAGACTTGGCAGATGTTCAGCCATCACCCGACAAACCTCTTCCCTGATCTTGGTCTCCAGGTAGAACTTCTCTGCTTTCTCATCCACCAGCTTCTGTTTCAGTACCTCTGTGACAGAAACCATCTCTTTCTGGATCTTGGTACCATTCACATTAATCATTCTTTAATCATTCTTTGATTCATTTTTGGACATGGTTCCCTATGACACCAAAGAAAATTCAGACTTTGCTCCAAATTGACATCCCATAATATAGTTTGGGAGAAGGGTAGAGAAAAAGGGGAAGAGACTATAACTCTTTAAGGCCTGTCAAGGCAATTGATCTGTATGAGAAGAGTATTAACAAAGAAGTGTTCTTTTAATTATAGAGAGAATATATTCATACTTTTTGATGGGATCTAATTGCCTATTATTCATACCCATATGTTTATATGTACAGTGTACCTGTATTATGCATCTCTACAAGTTTATGTTGATCTTTTTCCTTAAGTAAAATCCATTAAAAAGTCACTAGACCTATAATTGGATAGAGAAATTAACCTTTCACTTTTTGTTGTTGAAGTTTGTTCCCTAGGATATATGTGCATTTTTAATTTAAAAATTGTTCTCTGAAAATATTTGTACTCTTTGTAAACTATTGTAAATATTAAGTGTACTTGACTAAGCCAACTGAATGCGGGTAATGTACATTCTAACTTATTTTTATAACTTGTATATAGTCGAAACTCACTGGTTGAAAATGTACTGAATTTTGTAAATAACAACCCTTAAAAAGAGGATAATTTGTACATACTTTGTATGATAGACTTTGATGCCTGTAAAGAACGTCACTAGTTCACTAGCGGAAGTAACAATGGACTTACTACATATGGACTGCCAGCACTTTGTTATTCATTTGGTTGCAATAGTGTCTTGTTTACGAAAGATTCAAAGTAATATACGGTTCGCAGTTATCATAAAATGTATCTTCACCTCTTTGAAAAAGCTTGTTAGATACTTTCGGTTCACCAAATCTACTCATTTGTTTCATTTGATCTTTATATTTTGTTTATTTTTGGCAAATCGCCAATTTTGGGCATTAACAAAATATAACGGAACTTCTAGGGATATGTAAATACAGTTTCTACATATGGTATACATGTAGGTGAATATGAACATTATTATTCATGATTAAGTGCTGCTTGACCATATGTTATAGGTCCATAATACTAATGATGAACATACAATTGTACATATATATATACAGGTGTAGTACATTTTTCAGTGTGATTGTGAAATATTCAATTTGAATTAAATGTTATTTCACTTCGATATTTTGTCAAACCTAATTGATGAAGAAGAAAAGAATCATCATTATTATGTACTACATATGATATTAAATATCGGTTATATGACAATGCAGAACTTCTCAAAGGATTAGCCTACATTTTTATCGGTTAAGATTAAGAAGGAAACCCTCGAATCTTGGATTGGATTCGATAAAAGCTTATTGAAAAGGGGCTATTATCTCAATGCATACTGAAAACGCCAGTTTCTGTCTTACAAACGGATGTCAAAACGGTCTTAATCTAGAAGCTTTCCGTATTCTAGCTTTGCTGTTATACATTTTTAAAAATCAATTAATCAGCTTTCCTGTAAAGTTTATGCCAACAACCAAGACTTCCCAGTTCCCACTATTCAATTATTGGTTCACAAATTCAGAGCTAACTTAATTCACGGTGCCAAAATCCAATCACTGATACTTTGAAGTCCCATATATGGTGTCATTTTAGTAAAATAATTGTAGTTGTAAGAAACATGGAAAAGTTGAGGGAGAGAGTGTACCGCTTTCAAGATTGTTGTGTTTTACCTTGTTGTATGGTGATGTTAATGTTCAAATAGCAGAATTTCGTAACTCTTCTTTTATACTGTGTGTTTTCTTTGCTTGAAACATTAATGCGCTATTCAGCTAAATTATGAAGAAGGCCACCACATTTCTGATTCGCCTGCAATCATGAATCTTACTTCAAATTTAATACCATAAATTGATTGATGTTTCGTAAAAAAGAGTGTAATTTTTAAAAATTATAACTATAATAGTATACGACTTGTTTGATGAATCGTAAATATACCCTGTATTCTCAACCAAACGGGTCTACACTTTCTTGCACAAAATGTTGCATTTCTCTCTACTAACTAATACAATAACAGACTGAATGGAAGTTTCATTAAAATTTTTATCGGGATACAGAAAAACAATTTAGAAAACTGCTTCCTCGTTTTCTATATCAAGGGTTTGAGAGATCATCCTGTGACACAACTAAAATTCACGGACCTTTCTCTCCCGATCAAAATTGAAATAGAAATGTGTAATTTTTACTTTAGACATTGTTATTTCATTATTCCTTATAACCATTGTGTGTGACCTCGGTGAAAAAAAATGTATTAAAATACGTCTTATTGTTGTTATCAAGTTTTGTATAGTTAACCATTTTAACGTTTGTTCGAGTCTCTCTCTCAAAAAATGACTTGGTTAAAGACCAGTTTAACTTCAACAATTGCTTTAATTTGTAGAATTGTTCGCAAATTTACTTGTACTACTACATGCTAGTATGTTATAGATGTTGCGTCGCTCTGTATTGGAGTTTGAATGAATTAAAATCTGCTGATATTCATCATGAACATTGGACACATTTATTGCAGTTTATCCTCTTGCATTTTGAAGAGTTTTGAGCGTGCGGAGATTTCGAGTGAGTGTCTCTTTTTTATTTCCATTGTTGACTGGGATGAGGAAATAATACGCACGTTTTGCAGTGGAAAATCACGATGAGACGGACCTCAAAATATTTCCGTTATTGAAAAATAATCCGTTCTACTATCTATTCCTAAACAAATAATTGAAAGATTAAATTCGTTCAATTTATAAACCTACTAATTAGGCATTCCCTGAATTCGCGGCAAAACGTGTTCTTGTATTTCTTGAAAATAAAGAACGGAATACGTTTTACCCACGTTCATTATAGGCCCTTGACAGTCTGCATAATTATATAGGATGAAATTGACTTAACTTGTAGTAGGCTAATGATTTCTTATTTTTCTCAAAATGCTGAATGTCCGACTTCGGTCTTTCTTTGCGTTCTTCCCTGCCATGTACTTCAAGTCTTGTATTTCAAGAATACTAAATTTATTTTGAGATCAATCTGATTAAAAAACAAAAAGAAAGGGAGATTAACGATGATGGAACGTCGATCTGTTTTGGCCTAAAAAGGATCCTTTGTCCGCGGACTTTTCTCGCTATGCGATAAACTGATATTTATTTTCAATAAGGATCTTCAAGATTTTCTGTCATTCTCTAGCTAGCTGCCTCTCTTCCTTCATTTTCCTCTCTCTCTTCAGCCTTTCGTCCCCCCGGTTATAAAAAGAAATCGCCGCCCCTGGCCCTATGCCTATTACATTTTTACTTATAATATACAGTACAATGAAAGTAAATGCAACTGGAAGGTCAGATATAATTATATTTTATTTTTCATTTATAGTTTAAATATATATATATATCTCTCTCTGTCGAGGATTTAAAGGCCCGTTTCACTTTGACGATAACAAAAGTGGGTTCTGTTATAGAGCTCATGTCTGTCGGACTTGATAATCCTGTTCATAAAAGTGATTTTCTTGATTTGTGCTATTTATTTCTTGGGTTTCTGATTGATTGGGAGACAGGCAAGTCTGCAGTAAACAAAAAGGCAATTCTCTTCTGTTGTTCAAATGCATGCGCCCGTGTCGGTTGGAAATAGGGAAAATGATTCGAGTTTTTGTGGGCTGCATGGAAATACAAAAAACAGATACAAAAAGAAACAATGTAAGGGATACTAATATCACATCCTAGAATCTACAACACTAGCGTATTCTTGTTTTTTATGTGTTTTTATCTCATTTTATTTGTTTATGAACAAGACAGCTCGTATAGGCGTCTTTTTCTTTGTTTCCACATTTTGCTCATTCGGACTTTCCTATTTCATCAATTCATTCCGAAACTTCAGAGCCAAAACAACAGTGAAAAGAAAAAAACATTGAAAAAAAGTTCGATCTTTCCCTTTTTTTCACGCAAGATGACAACGTCCGGAAAGAAAATGCATTGAACATGCGTGATAATTGTCTTCATCGACACGATTCGCGTAGGTTATAACGACGCCTCGTCTTCAAAGGGAATTAAAAACAATCTTCATTAATCTGCTACTAGCTGCTTTAGGATGATACTTTTTGTTCTTTGTTTTGTTTTCATTCACTATTTTTTTCTTTATTCAGAAAAAGATTCTTAACCCCTTTTGAATAACCATATTTACTCTTATCCTCCCCTCTCTTCCCCCGATGCTCCGGTTCTCTCGTCATCTCCCCTTACCCTTCTAATCCTCCTCTTTTCTCCCCGTCTCCTTCCTCCCCTTTTTTCTCCCCCTCTCTCTTATCTCGTCACATCTCTATCTTCTCACCTTCAATCACTGGCATCCGCCACACTCTACTCATCTACAAATCACTGCAAATAATCACAATCTAAACTCTCGCAATTAGAATTGCAAATATTTTAGCAGAAATCTATTTTCTTTTTCAATTGATCTCTCAGAGAATCAAAATTGAAGAAAAAAAGCGATAAAATTAAAGCACACAAAATATAGGACATTTAAATCAGTTCATTATTCCATCAACTTGAGTTACTAACTCTGACGTATACCCAACCAAAACAGTGGCAAATGTTCCACACACAAAAAAGATACAGACCGGCAATTAACGTTACCTTATTGAAATGCAAAAATCACAAAATATTCTACATAATCTAATCATGTATACAAATTTCCCTTGAAGATATCTTAGGTTAAATATTAAATAATTTCTGCAATTTTCTGTCATTTCTTGTCAAAATTTTCAAAAAGGAGCTAGAGACCAAAATAATCTCATAATATGGTTCAGTAGATATTGTAATCATCATAATTCATATTTTATCCAATACACATAAATTATTAATGAGTTAATGACGTTGCAATTGACTGTCTTATACAGTGCATATTCTAATCAAAGAAGAATATAATATGCTTTAAAAATTACAATGGAATATTCGTTTCCATTTGGAGAACAAAATAAGATGCAATGCTGCTTAGAAATGAGTTTATGATGTTATAATTAATAGCATACAAGAAAAAAAATCTTGTGTTTTCAAGAACCTGAAATGCTTTAACTTACATAGAGTATTACATTATTATATTGGTTATAAATAATAATGGCAGGCCTCAGGAGCAAAGAGGAAAAAATATTGTTTTTATCATAATTCTGGTATGTGAATTTAGTTACTATCTCACAAAGAGATGCAATTTAAGAAGCCTATTTTCCTGTGAAGCACTGATATAAATATATTTTAGCTTTAGATTATACTCTGAATAACACTGAGATAGGTAATAATAATCATACATACATAATTATTAGAACCTTTAAAAAAAAATCATGAAATATAGACTGATTTGTCATATTTTTCTTTAAATTAACTTACTCAGTTTTTGTGGACATTGTAAATTATGTCTTCTCTCGTAAAATTGGTGTTTGGACAATCATTATGCAAGCTTTAAAATCACCATATTTTCATCACAATATGGAACAATTACAGATAATCTTTATGATTATCCATATCCTTATCCATTCCCAAATTTTGTTGGGTCACTATACCAGGCCTGCATTCTCCATATAATCCATTTCTTTTCTTATACCCATAAACAAATTCTTTCCTCTGTACATAATAAATAATCTCACAAATAATTCATTCCAATAATAGACAGATATCACAATAAATATTAAACTATTGAAAAAGGCAATCTGATTATCTACTTTACAAACTCTGCATGAAATTAGAATAGAAAGAAGTGCACTTGTTAACATTTTTGATACATTTCCATGAGTCAATAAGAGTAGTACTAATACAAAATTGTATGATTCAAAGTGAATTGAAATAGCAATCTAAAGCGAAATATACAGACAAGTATTGTTAGAAATATAGATAAGTTACCAGTCATTTCAATAGCATTTTAGTTGATGTGCATAATCAATGAGGCATTCATGAATAAATTATGCGTAAACTAAATGCATACCAGTTTTTTTTTAAATATACTTTCTGTGTTAAGCCAGAAGGGTGTTAACTCTTTTGCAAATGAATATTGTTTAAAGCCCTTCTGGCTCTCTGCAGATGTCAAAGAACTCATCTTAAATTCTTTGAGAAGAGCAATCCTTTGTTCTCCAAAGTTTTCCTTCTTTCCTACCAGATGAAAATACTCTTTTGTTAAATACCTCTACTTTCTTCCCAATCAAAACACTTGAGTCTCTTGCACATATCATTTCATCTCTTCAGAACCAGGGCATTAACTCTGTGTTACAGTATATGACATAACAACCTTCTGACTTCAAGCAGATGATTTGCCAATGGCAGACTTGCTGTTTATATTGCTAAAGAAAATGACACAAAAAGAAAGAGAAAGAGAGAACAAGGCAGTTATACATAACATGCTCCAAGAGCGAGAGAGAGAGAAAGGAAGAAAAACGCACATATTTAACAAATCTATTGCATTATATGTAAATCTTGAGAAGCATATTCTATTCTAACTCATTTGTTTATATCAGGCTCATATTTTATATTGCTTTTGATGTGCAGCTATAATTAATTACACATTTTGGACAAATCGTCCTTGTTTTCACGAAGTGACGGTAGTGAAAAAAAATTGCATTCACTTTGCATTACGATTTTCCTCGCTACCGTCACTTCGTGAAAACAAGGACGAAATATAACATAAAAATAATGCGGATCTTGAAATTCATTGAAATGCATCTATCAAAGTCATATAGTGATAGGCATATCTGAAAAGTATTTATAAATAGTATGTTCAATTCATGGAACCCGATGATTCTCTAATACTTATTTCAATGAAAAGGAAAAATTTCATGCAAAAAGGAGGGATGCCCAGAAAGAAAAGATGATCGGTCATATGTTATAATGATTAACCGGAAGAATATGATGGCAAGAACACAATAAAGCTGAAATTATGACAAAATGGACAAAACAGAGAAGGGCACAGAATTAAAGAGAGCGCGAGTTTCAAATCCAGAGACATGAAAAAGAGAGAAAAATAATTCTATGTGATGTTGTTGACAATATTGTATATTTCCTTAGATACAGGACACGACATATACACTTGTTAAGTTCAAATCTTCTTTCTGCAAAATGTGCTCCATGAAGCCACTAGGCAATTAAATGACATGTTGTTGTTGCTGTTTTTATGTAAGTTAGACATGTGTACATTTCATGTCATTTATATTTTATCATATGATCCACCATAATTTATGGTCATACAATGTGATGTGTAATTTAAAAATGAAAAGGAGTAATAAAACATGAAATACACAACAGCAAAAAACTTTAAATGTTGTGGTATGGTTACCCATCAAAAAGAAAGAAAAATAAATGTATCATCCAAAATCAAGCTGAAATAGGGTAACAGAGGTATTGAAGAGAGATTTTCTTAGTAGTCCAAGATATAATACATAGCGGTACAACATAATAAGCCAGCATCAAAGAAAAGTAAATTCTTAGCTACTTTTAAAAGAGAGCAAGATTGATGCCATAATGACCAAATGGTATAATTGCAGCATCTAAAATGAAATATCAAAAACAAAGACTATGAAAAGAGTAACAAAGTTTTCCAACAGAAATGGCATGTTATTCTATTACTGTAATCGTTTTCTCTACAATGAAAAATCTTTTGCATGAAGTATGTCCAACACTAAATAGAAATTATGAATGCAAAAATGGTATGTTCTACTGAGATAGTGGTATAAATATGTAATTACTGTTTCAAAACAAAATAGCATTGCTTGCATACGATTGATCCCAATCCATAATTTATTGCAAATGACATTTATGCATACGCGGTTGAAGCTCAAAAGACGGTTAAAAGAGAATCTAACAGGCTGTAAGAACAACAAAGACATAAGATATTCTCTGCAGAGATTTCATGAGATGATCTGAAGAAGATGTATATCACAAGAAGTCCAATGAATGGTCACATCACAGAAATTCTAAAAGTGATTAATATTCACTTTCAATTTTTTAGTATTATGACCTTGCTCACGACAAAAAAATGGATGAACTTATCAGGTCATTTTTTATCTCAACGCTTTAACTTTCTATTACCATAAACAACAGACGGCTCTCTTTTCCCCATACCCAGAACATCCACAGTGACAAATGACAATGCTTATCAATCATATGCACCCTATCTCTAGAATCAACTGCCCTGGAACATCCATACAGCACCCACACTAAACATCTTTAAAGGTAAAGACCAGTATTGGAAACGCCCCAATTTCAAAAAATGAAATGGAAGCTCTCATTACCAATCATGTGAAAGAATATGTTTTGACTAATACATGATGATAAAAAATTTGCCGGGAAACCGCCTACTAATTCATATATTTGGTAAATTTGTTTCTCTCATGGTCTGTGAGAGATATAGGGTAGTCCCATATACATCTTTCTGTGTATAGTGCTTGTAACTTTAAGAATGGGCCAAATTTCTTATCATTTTGATGATTCCAGAACCTTGCAGATGCTAGATGCTAGATGATCAACCTTTTCTGATTGATTCCACAACGTTTCTTTCACAATACAATCGCATGACCATAACTGGTCTTTACCTTTAAAAAGCGCTTGAAGGCGTATTTATTCAACTGATTTTTCCATCTTCATAAAAGCGCTGTGAATCCAATTGTGTGAGAGCGCTCTATATATATATATATATATATATATATATATATATATATATATATGAACATATCATACTATTAAAAACTTCAGACCTGACAATTTGGATACTAAACCTGGGCCCTGTTTCAAAAAATTGTATAAAAAAAAAAGTTACAATAACTGTTATAAGCTTCTGATAGCATGGCATTTGATTGGCTGAGAGAACGTTTGTCATTCAGATTTAGCATTTGTTATTGATAAGGTGTTTTATGAAACAGGGAACAGATCTTCCAATACAGATTTCAATGCGAAACACTTTTCAATGGATACATATAATGTGGTCTTTATTGCAAGGCATTTTTTCTTCTATACAGGTTGTTGCTAAAGCAAGTTTTACAGGACAGTGAAACCTGTACATAAAGACCACTCAAAGGAAACATGAAAAGTGGTCTTTCTCTACAGGTGGTCTCTAAAGCAAGTTTCATAGTACTTGGTATCTATCCCACTTTCCTACTAGAAATAATAAATCTGGTTTTGTATAGCGCCTAAAACAAATTATCATCTCTAAGCTCTTTAAAGATATTGTCATTACCCCCGTCTTTGGATTCATTTATGCACAATATCTCCACTCCCTGGGGAGCATTCATGATTAGCATTCCTAACATATGGTCAACTCACTCGATCAAACAGTTCCATTCACAGTTCAAGACTGATGCATGTATATGTAATGGCACATTTGAAAAAAAATACAACAAATGATAAAATTGAACCTGACCATTAAGACCACCCAATGGAAACTGAATAGAGTGACCACCGGAGGCACATGAAGGTGGCCTTTCTAGACAGGTTCTATGGTACATTACCTTCCTTGATGGGAAGAGCATACAGATAGCCACTACTGACAGGTTGCCTTATAAAACAGATTCTACAACACACATTCCTTCCCAGAAGGAGACTTTATTGTTGACCACTATATGGAGGTGGCCACTAAATGGAGGCGACCTCTAAAGCCTTGTTCACATATGGCCAAGCACTTTACCCAGTGGGGGTTTCCAGCATAATGCAAGTCATATTTTTGTATCTTATGACGCACAGACAAGTGCATATGCATATACGATCTTTGCTGCGTGCAGCTACTTGCTCCACCCCCACTCGCCATTCATTCAGTACACACAAACAAAACACTGTGGTTTACCTAGGCATATGTGAGTGAACCTTAAAGCCCATCTGCACTAGTTTGGCCAGGGGGGATTAGACCACCCAGGAAGGTCACTGACAAGTGGCTATCTCATCAACTCAGCTCTCAATTCACATAATAAAAAGAGGATCATGGGGGACCAATGGTCACCAATTAGGCATTGTTTTCTATATAGAGGGAGCAAGTAGCTACAAGTAGTACAGTGAGCCTTTAAGACAGGTTGGACTCTAATTGCTAAAGCTTTTGACTCTACTATAATGGTTGAAGAAAAAAAAGCACACTGTTTGATGACTATCGTCACGAGTCGTCGCCCCCTTCCCCGATCCACTGGTTTCTCTGCGGCTCTGCCCCGGGTTCGGAGATGGTGGCCTTCTGCCGGAGGTCGATGGTGATGATATCCTCATCGGGCTCGAAGTCGTCCGAGTAGTCGCTGCAAGGAAAACACAACAAACACAAGTTCAGTTGTGAATACTTACATTTTGACAATCAATTCTTAAAGGGATCGTTTGACAATGTTAAATCTGAGATGCACGGCCCTACGTGTTATCAGTGTCTGTGATATGGTGTTATATTGAAGTCCTAAAAAAAGTTGAACTTCAAAACGATCAAGAAGTGCCTCAAAGAGGTAAAAATCTTTGAGTGACCGGTTTTACCATACCGGTACTCATTTTCCCAATAGACTGTAGTGTTATGAAAACTGTTATGCAAATGCAAAATTTGGTTTAGATTTCCAATCATAAATATCTTGATAATCAGAATGGGGATCGGCTTGTAAAAGTCATGGGGTTCCTGACTGACCTAAAGGTTTATAATTATGATTGTAGCATGAGCTAAATGCAGGATTTTGTACCAGAATCTAAGACAAAGTTACCCAATCCCTTTATTGTTTTTATTGGATACAGTTTATCACTGATGGCGTGGCAAAGCCATGTCACTCAATTTGTGGCAATTTTCATCTTTATCGTGATTTTATAGGCTAAGGACCATATTCTTCCAGTAAACCAATCTCATGTATATCTGCAAGAATAATGCCACAGGTGAACTGCTGAGAGCTGTCACTCATCAATGCTCTCTAATATTATTCAACATGATAGTTTTTTTTTTCTTACTGAAAATTTAAACTTTTTTAGTTACAAGGTTTGTCGCCCTGCTGACAATATCATCTTTAAAATACTGAATTTAATTCAAACTTGAATACATTTTGTAAGTTACTTGTTGAAGTTAAACCGATTGAAGACAAAATTCATTTACTAACTAGCAAAATCATTTGTGACATTTCTACCTGAAATAATGAGTCATTATACGATAGTAGTGCAATAAACCATAATGTGGACATAAAGGATAAATAACCCAAATTTGACTCTTGAAAGATGAGTTATGATAACTTTTCATAAACCTAGTGGTTCAAAAGGGGGTGCGGACCAAACCAAAGTGTTTAGGGGTTTGCCTGAAACTCACCAGTCGTCACCCTGTTGGGAGTGTTGCTGTGTGTCCTGCCCTCCCTCCTCCGCTACCAGCATCTCATACTCGTCAGCAGCATACTTCTCCCAGTCTGTCGGCTCGGGACTTTCACTGTCGTAATCCTGGAAAGAGCCGTAACATTGTAAAATAACGGGACTGGTAAAAAAAAAAAAAACAGACCACCATCGAGGATAACTATTTTAACCCTTTCATGATGAGCACAGTCATTCAAAGACTTAAAAAAAACAAAAAAACATACTAGATGCATGAAATGAAAGGGCAAACGTTTCTTAAGAGATTCTGCTATTTTTGCTGCATGGCTACATTCATTTGACCAGGAATTTTAAAAATGAACATAAACTTAACAATCCTAAAATTGGCAAAAAAATCACCAATTTCATATATAAATTTACAACTTTTAAAACCTGTATATTGTTTTCAAAAACATAATATTTGATGTCTTATGATTTAAGTTGATTCAAAGAAAGGTGATCAACTCAGCTCTTCAAAGATCCTGTCTCGAAATATGTCTTTGTAGAAAAAAGTCTAATCCATAGAAATCAGTGCTGATGGCTCAATAGAATTAATCTAAGCACCATACAATTTCTGATTTTATCATCAAATAATTATAATCATTCTTTATCTCTGACCATCGCTGCACTTTACACAAATGAGCAATTTTTGGTGTTGGTTCACTGTTTCCTTTTCAATTTGTATTGAAATAAACAACCAAAAAGCAGATTATTCCTTACTCTAAATGAGAGAACTGTTGGAGTTCCATGGGAATGACCTTTGTGCATTCAAGCATACATGTGTCACAACTATCCCTCTTGGTGAATTGCCGTTTGGTCTACAACCAGTCCGTCTACTACCCCATTAGTCTATTCCCATATGGTCTACACACGACCCATCTACTGTTCACATGGTCTAATAATCATTTGCCTACTTATCATGTGGTCAACTAGTCATTTAGAATAATAGTCATTTGGTCTGATTTCCAGATGGTCAAATCTTGAATCAGTCTACTACCCACAAGGTCTAATAACCATTTGATGATTATTATCATTCTAAGAGCAATTGGGTCATAGACAAACTACCCATTTGGTCTACCTTGTTCATTTAGTCTAATAATCAATTAGCCCAATGTCCCAGTTTGTCTAATGCTCATTTGTCTACCATCCATAAGGTCTAATAACTATTTGATGATTATTATCATCCATGATTAATAGAGCAATTGGGTAGGAGACAAACTGGTTGTAAACCAAACGGCAAGATACCTCCCTCTATACTGGTATACAAATAATACACAGCAGTGAGGGCATTAGTACGAATTACCCACACAAGGTACCTTTTGGAACCATCTAAAACAGCTGACGCAATAGCCAAGGGTGTTTGGACTGTTTCAAAGGTACCGAGTGTGGGTAATTTTACTACTGACCAAACAAAATGATGTGTATTATTTGTTTTATAAGATGATGTTTTATCTGTTTTATAAAGTGATGTTTTATAACATGATTTTACTAATGACGGGTCATAAGTATTTGCTAATGACTGGTCATTAGTAAAATTAGGTGTTAGGCAAAGTAAATGCCTGGACTCGTGTACGCTCCCAACCAATCATTTGATTAGGATCTACTTCATCATCTTACAATAGCTATGGCCTTACCCTGTTGCTGGCGAAGGGATCTCTCTGCTCATGCTCTAAGAACTTCTCGAGGTTGAAGAGGGTGTCGAAGAAGATGTAGGCCAGCTTGCAGTTCTTGAGATCATGCAATGTGATATAGTCTGGGTTCTTTGGCTTCACCAAGTCTAGTAACTGTACGAAAAAGATATATTCAAAAAATCAGTTATCAATGATTAATGATAAAATTGAGTTCTGGTCATGCGGTAGCATAGTGAAGAAAACTGTCAAGAAGTTATAATAATAATTAAAAGTTTTAGTATACCAGTAGTGCATAACACATACACGTAGGCATAATTGCTTGTCTCTATGCACTTTGCAGAACAGATACAGAAGGAGTGAAAATGATGCACTGGGTTCATCATTGTGAGATTTTACAAAGTGCTATATAAATATGTTTTCAAATTACATCTGATCTCTTCGTATGTTTCTATATTTCTAAGGTATTCCAGCAATTTATTCCAAAAAACAGTGGCTTCGTATGAAAATGACCTTTCCCCATAAGATTTTGGAAAGATTGTTGGAAAAGACTGATTATGTAGTACAAGAGAAGGTTGTGTATTACGAATTTCTAGAATCATCTGAAAAAAATTGAATCAATCGTGCTGAAAGTCACATACAATAAAATGCACTACATACGGATATGGGTATATGTGCAGGGAATATATCAAAGACAGCATAGGGTCACAGGTCATCTAAAAACAAAAAGACCCTACTAATTTGTGAATTTTTAAAAATATGACTTTTAATTAATTTTGTGTATTAGGAATAGAAAAGTAGTCCACTAATGCACCACACTGACATTACCCTACTCCCCCGATTTAAAATTCCCATTTACGTAGTGATTACAGCTTTTTGTTTGTCTGATTTTGTCAAAAATTGTCACAGATTCTGGGATTTTCCTGTGATTTTTCATCCTTCAGAGCAACTTGCTATTGTGGTTGGCCTTCCCTTTAAAGCCTATCTGCAGTAGTTTGGTCCGGAGGGATTAGACCTCCCAGCGTGGTCACTGGCAGGTGGTTATCTCATCAAATCAGCTCTCAATTAACATAAGAAAAAGGGGACCATGGGGGTCCAATGGTCACCACTTAGGCATTGCTTGCTATATAGAGGGTGCAAGTAGCTATGAGAAGTGCAGTTGGGCTTTAATATCAACTATGAAGCATGGGCATACCTGACATAAACAGTCTTCAAACGGCAAGGTCTCGATACCAAGGCTCTCCATCTTGTTGAGTTGTTCCTCGTAGAAGAACTCGAGCTCAAACATGGAGAGAAGACCATCCCCGTCGAGATCCATGCACCGGAACCAGTACTCTATACTGTGAATCAAAATAAAATGGAAGAATTAGGGATTGGTTCAGAGTGGAAGAAGAAAGAGGGCACGCTGTGGGGAACAATATCATCTTTGTCACTGTTTGTATTATGAAATATTTCAAATATGGTCTCAAACTCCTAATAGAACTTTTCTGGCTAAACATGGAAAATGGGCCACTCCCATTAAACATAGCCGGGTGTGGTCAAAATTAACATTTTGTCATATGTATTGTATACACAGCAGGATTGTCAATACCTGAATATGTGACTAAAGAAATAAATAAATCCAAATCCATTTGAGATGTGAATCTCAAACTTCACAGGCTCATTCATTATTTGATGCTCCATGTATTTAATGGTTTCAAGTCTTCAAATAACAAGGTGATTTGCCAAGTCCACCCACCCCTCCCCTAAAAACAACAACAACAACAACAAAAGAAACTTTTCACATAGCTAGTCTTTTCTGCCTGAGGGGTTGGAATCCACCGATATCTGGGTAGTAGGGCACCTAAATAACGTAGCCTATTTAGCACTATTAATTGTTTACCTGATTGGCTGTTTCTTGTCTTCCTCCGATAAAAGGAACCAAACAAATTCATTGTAACTCATCCGACCTTCTCTCACTGAGGCAGGACTGCAGGGGAAAAGGGAAGAAAAAAAAGATTATTTTCATAAATATATATTGGGCACAGAGAGGAAGAAATAAGAGATATTGCAGAATAGTAATAGTGAGTGATAGTCGGAGTGAGAGAAATAGGAGTACAGAGAGAGAGAGAGAGAGAAAGAGAGACAGAGACAAACTGACAAAAATACAGAGAAAAAGAAAGGGAGAGAGGGGGCCAGAGGGGGGGGGGAGCAAAATATTTGGTAATGCTAAAAGAAAAGTCAAGTCAAGAAAAAGTCATGAAAAAGACAAGTTGAAAAAAACATTTTAAAAAAAAGATAAGAATTTGTATGTGTTCATGTCTAATTATTTTTGTAATCTTGCCAACAAAACGTTACAAACTTTCACACATGACCTGCCACTTTTTTTCAACAGGGCATGAGAAAGATTTTTCTTCAATCAAATTCTTATCTGTTGGAATTCAAAATGGATTCATTTGTATCTAGAGATCATCACTCATTACCCACATGAAGTTTCGTTTAAACAGGAAAAAAACCTCTTATAAATGTTTGACCAAAAAAAGCCATCTTACCTAAGTACTGTTCCAGGAGAAAATATTCTGTCGATCATCCGAGAAGAAATGGCTGAAAAGAAACAACAAACATATTTTGGTTTAAAACTATACGCACTGTACGAGGTTAAAAGAGGATAAAACAAAGTTTGGCATTCCACAAATCAGTGGACATACTCTAGCCAGTGTATCAGGGTCTACACATGGGACCCGTTTCACAAAACCTTTTTTCAATGGCAAATGACAAAAATCAGTGACAAATCTGATGATAACCAATCAGAAGCAAGGATTCCACTAGCTTATAACAAAAACTGTCATTTGTCACTGATGACAAGTTTTGTGAAAATGGGCCCCTGGACTAATGTTAATATGACTATATGGAAACATTGGTCAATGTCTGTGCTATTGAAGCATACAAAGACTGCCCCATCAAAGGAGACAAGAAAAGCATTTTTTAATGAGCAGATGGTCTTTAAAGACAGGTGGTCTGTCTATACATCTGGTCTTTCCAAACAGGTAGTCTGGTTATACATGCAGTCTTTCCAAACAGGTAGTCTGGTTATACATGCAGTCTTTCTAAACAGGTAGTCTGGTTATACATGCAGTCTTTCTAAACAGGTAGTCTGGTTATACATGCAGTCTTTCTAAACAGGTAGTCTGGTTATACATGCAGTCTTTCCAAACAGGTAGTCTGGTTATACATGCAGTCTTTCCAAACAGGTAGTCTGGTTATACATGCAGTCTTTCCAAACAGGTAGTCTGGTTATACATGCAGTCTTTCCAAACAGGTAGTCTGGTTATACATGCAGTCTTTCCAAACAGGTAGTCTGGTTATACATGCAGTCTTTCTAAACAGGTAGTTTTTCTGAACAGGTGGTCTTTACAGACAGGTGATCTTTCTGAACAGGTGGTCTTTCTGAACAGGTGGTCTTTCTGAACAGGTGGTCTTTCTGAACAGGTGGTCTTTCTTAACAGATGGTCCTTCTACACGGTGCTCATTCTAAACAGGCGGTCTTTCCAAACATGTACAGGTGTCGTAGTCAAGAGGTTTAAGAACTCAACTCGAAATGCAGAGATTGTGGGTTTGATCCCCGACACTGCACTAATGTCCTTTGGCAAGGTATCTATCTACATTTGCCACTCCATACCCAGGAGACAAATGAGGACTGGAAGGATGATGAAAGCTTTTGTGTATGTAATTGCCATATGCCCTCATGGTGACCGTACGGTAGGAATACTTCTCAGGCAGTGGAGAAGGTGCACATTGCGCATGGATGAATCCGATGACCAGGGTAATAATATATGTAAAGTTCTGAGAGACGATATTTTGTATCAAAGCCCAATCGCACAAGTTTGACCTGGAGGGATTAGACCTCCCTGCATGGTCACTGACAGGTAGTTATCTTATCAAGTAAGCTTTCAATAAACATAAGAAAAAGAGGATCATGGGAGATCAATGGTCACTGATTAGGCATTGTTTGCTATATAGAGGGCGCAAGTAGCTATAAGTAGTGCAGTGGGGCTTTAAGCACTATAGGAATCAGGATTATTGTTATTATTTGTCTCTATATATATATGTGGTCTTTCTATACAGGTGGTCGCTAAAGCAGGTTTGACTGTATCTTACCATGGTCCTGGTGTCTCGCTAGATCTTTCTTGTCGATGTAAAGGTCATGGTCCATGTCAAGCTCCCAGAACTTGCAGTAGATGACGTAGAAATGCTCGTAAGAGAAGTAATCCATGATCTGGTTGATGTCGTCTTCTTCCTCTAAAAGTGCGATAACCTAGGGTGAATGAACAGAAAATATATTTGTTTGTGATATGAGTGATATAACAATTGCTACAGGCTACGTTATGTTAAAGTTATAGTGCTGAAATTAGGGTTGCAACTGGCTTTTAAGTTAGATTTAGGGTTGTAACTGCGTTTAGAATAGGTTAATAGGTTTGGTTTAAGTTAGGGTTAGGGTTAGATTTAGGTTTAGATTTACGGTTAGGGTTAGGTTGTAATTGGGTTAAGGCTAGGTTTAGGTTTAGGTTTAGGGTTAGGGTTGAGTACTACAACATTTGGTCCAGGATTCACGGAGGAATTCAATTCAAGGCTAGGTTTAGGTTTACGTTTAGGGTTAGGGTTGAGTACTACAACATTTGGTCCAGGATTCACGGAGGAATTCAATTAGTGTAGGATATCGATTGCGGAGCACTTTTTCTTAGAGCATGTGTCATAAAAACTTTTTCCTGTCTGTTTCCTACATCATCAAAGAGGTGTGGACCATAACCCATATGCGTGCATGTTTTATTGCAAGTTAAAGCCTATCTGTACCAGTTTGGCCAGGAAGGATTAGACCTCCCCACATGGTCACTGGCAGGTTATCTCATCAAATCAGCTCTCAACTAACATAAGAAAAAGGGGACCATGGGGGATCAATGGGTACCGCTTAGGCATTGGTGGCTGTATCGAAGACTCAAGTAGCTACATGTACAAGTAGTGCAGTCCCGCTTTAAAGGTTTAAAAAGCGCCCCCTCTTTTCCACATTCCTGAATCCGAAACTACATTGTTACATTTTATAAGAACATCTACCGGTAAACATGATCAAGCTAAATAACAATTGTCTTTATTGAATCGTAACAACTCAAATGACTCAGAGTCAATAACCGATAATCATCTTGAAAACAAGTTATTGTATGAAGATAACAGCTTGTTGACAATGATTCGCAAAGTTTGTAAACGTGAAGGCATCGAAAAACAAAAAAAAGAGATTTCCCAAAACAGGGTTCAATATCAGTCATGAGATAAAATTGCAAACACTAAGCAGAAAAAAGCAAGACCTCATTCAACTATGAAAGTTCAACATGTACCTGTAAATCTTTGATTACTTTCATTTGAAAAAAAGATGCATTAATTTCACATCATATTCAAAGAATAGAATAATATTCCAGATATTCTACCCAGCCCCATTCTTCATGTACATTGTATGCATATTATTTTGTGCCTGTGTGGTTTATACAATAACTTACATCTATAGAGACAAACTTAATTGATAATTTAACTTCTCCTCCAATATACAATAATCATTCTCAATTATCAATACCTATGTTTGTTTGTATATTTTATTTGACTGGCAGCATACAAAATACAACAGAAGAATTTTGACATCACAAGAAAGATACATCAAATGAAATAACATAAAATACTATATACAAATAGCCTATGCTGGAGAGGTAGCAGCTAAAAAAGAGGAAAAGGCTCTTATGTGAGGCTGAACCAGAAGATGAAAATTAAACTGAAAATATTCAATACAATTTTAAATAATATTCAAAGATACAAAATTGCAATATACAATTTATAATACCTACAATTTATAATACCTACAAATATCAAAATCCTCATCACTACTTATTAATACACAATAAAAATTTTGCTTGTAACTTCAATTTCGTTTCTTCCATCTATGCATCATTTAACCACTTTCACTATCATTTTCACTTGGAGATGTTGAATGGCACCTTTAAATGTTCTGCTCCACTTACAGTGTATAACAAATCTATGTTTGGAAAACTTCAGAAAAAGTTTGGCTTTGGAGAGATAACACAGCAGCTAGCATCACAGGTGCACGTAACAAGCTTCAGGACACTCATTAAACGTAGTACTTTAGATGTTAAACAGTCTGGTAATTTGCTGCTGGGACAGGGAGGGCTCTGTTAAGAGTGACCTGACATCTGACCCCTGACTTCCTGTCGTGATGGAGTTTGACGGCGGGTGATAGTCTGGCGGAATCAGTCTACCCCCCCCCCCCCCCCCATCTCAATGATAATGGATGATATTCTTAAGGTGGTTGAACTTTAGATCAAGTATAAGCCCTGACTAATTAAAGCCCCACTGCACTACTTATAGCTACTTGCCCCCTCTATATTAGCAAACAATGCCTAATTGGTGACCGTTGGTCCCCCATGATCCCCTTTTTCTTATGTTAATTGAGAGCTGATTTGACGAGATAACCACCTGCAGGGAGGTCTAATCCCTCCTGGCCAAGCTAGTGCAGTGGGGATTAAAGTGAGTTAGTCAACTTTCCGAGGTTTACCTGGTTAGATTGCTTCAGAGTAGATTACAAATGTATGCAAAGTATAAATGGGTGGCATTAAGCAATGTCTCCCCTGATCTGAATATACATGTAGGCCACTGGGTTCAACTGAATCTACACTACATCAATGATATAAATTTTCACTTGCATCTTTGAGGGGAGGTGAAGAGAAAAGTGAAAAGGACATGGAAGAAGGAGAGCAAGAGAGAGAGAGAAAGACAGAGGGAAAGAGAGAATGAATGAGAGATGAATAGAAAAAGAGAGAGAGAGAAAGAGAAAGAGAGAGAGAGAAAAAGTTAGAACAGAAGAGAAAAGGTAAAGATAGAGAGTATAAAGATAGAACAGAAGAGAAAAGAGATAGACATAGAAAGGAAGATATATGTATATATATAGAGAGAGAGAGAGACAGACATACAGACAGACAGACAGAGAGATAGGGGAAAAGAGAGACAGGAACAAGAGACAGAGAAACAAAATAGAGAAAGGAACACAAGATTATTCAATTTTAGGGGACTTGCATCATAATTCACTCTTTCATTTACCAAATGACTTACCGATAGAAAATTACTTCTCCTCAGCTCTGGTAACGTAATCCTCCCTTTCCATGATCTGTTGATTGTATAGAATATCCTAGATACGACCTGTAAACAAAGAGAGAAAGTTGCCAATTTAGGTGCAAGTAGTGCATCGAACTTGTAATACATATCAAATCTCCTTGTTACTTGTACATAAAAGAGAACGATGTGTGTTTTGAAAAAAATAGACAGCTTTGCTAGTTTCAATGTGTTTTCCAGAGCTACCTCACAAGAAGATTGAATTAATATTTACTTTTATATCTTTAGTCATAAACTTTTTATATACTTGAAGATATAATATTTGATTTATGCAGAGAATATCCTATTATAAAAAATTGCACCAAGTTGAAAGTGCATTGTAAGATATATACTTAATTTAGAGTTGTATCAACAAATAAAGAAACATACAATGTAATCGAAATTCCATGGAATGACCTACATTGGTAATTGATGTTATGATTAAAAAAAAGTCAATTTCAGGATGATTTTAATGTTAAATGTACAAAAAAAACCTCTTTTCTGGCAATATGACAGAAATACATATATGTGGCATAAATTAAGAAGAGGATGGAGGATGGGGGGGGGGGCAGAGAGGAAGGGGAGGGCTAGTTTAATTCAACTAATCAAATGGCACCTGAAAATGTAATGTCATTAATTTATATTAAAAAAATTCCCCATATTCAGAGATTTCAGAGATTTCAGGTGTTAAAAGCACCTAAAATAACAACTTGCTCCCAATTGAAAAGCCTGGAACTGCTCTTGGTTAACATACAAATGTTTGAAAAATGTTTGGTGTAGATTTTGTCATTTTAGGAATGTGGAAGGAAGAATTAAAATGACAAAATTGATGTATTCCATGCTGTCTCTTGTTCGAGACTTGTACAAGAGGTTAAGCTATACATAATCTTACTTGGGAGAGAGGGATGGGGAGAGGGGGAGAGGGAGGCGAGAGGGACAGAGGATGTGGGGTAGAAAAGGAGAGGGAGTGCGAAATAGACAGAGGTGAGAGGGTAGAGATAAAATAGAAAGCATAGAGAAAGAAAGAGAAAGAGAGAGAGGGGGAGGGAGAGAGGGGGAGGGAGAGAGAGGGGGAGGGAGAGAGAGGGGGAGGGAGAGAGAGGGGGAGGGAGAGATAGGGGGAGGAAGGGGACAGAGGATGGGATGGAAGGAGAAGAAGTGTGACATAAAGAGAGAGGAGAGAAGAATTAGAAAGACAGACAGACAGGTGAGAAAGAGGGGAGAGGGAAGAGATAAAATAGAAAGCATAGAGAAAGAAAGAGAAAGAGAGAGAGGGGGAGGGAGAGAGAGGGGGAGGGAGAGAGAGGGGGAGGGAGAGATAGGGGGAGGAAGGGGACAGAGGATGGGATGGAAGGAGAGGAAGTGTGACATAAAGAGAGAGAGGAGGGAAGACTTAGAAAGACAGACAGACAGGTGAGAAAGAGGGGAGAGGGGAGATAGGAGAGAGAACATAGAAGGCATAAAGAGAGAGAGAGAGAGAGAGGGACAAAACAGGAGGATATATAAAGTCACATACTCTGACAGTACAACACTTGCTCCTGCAATAATTACTTTGTGGTCATTTTCTACACAAACAAAATTCCAAACTTCAACCCTGGGTGAAACACTATACCTTATCCTAACCCTAAACCTAGCCTAAAACCAAATTGTTACCCAACCCTCATACTTTTACAGAAATACAGCTTGGGGCAATTTTGCCAGAGCAAAAATATCGGAACATCCCTTGAGAAAACTCCTTTCTCTTCAATACTTATCATTCAAACATAGAACGTCAGAATTGTCACATCCTCTATTTTCAAAACCTTTCTCCAAAATACTCCATTATCCATCAACAATGTTTAGTCTGACCTCCTCGCACATTCCCACCCATTACAATTGTAGATTTGTGTTTTGGAAGTTATCGGCTTTCACAAACAAACACTTTAATAATCTTGCAGCAGAATGTCATGACGTTCTAGTGAACTCTTAGAAGTAAAAGAAAAAGTGCAAAAGCTCATATTATTTACACACTCTTTCTGACCTCTACTTCAACCCGTTAGTTCCCTCTCCTCACCAAAAATGGCCTCAATTTCTTTCTGACTCAAAATTTTGGACTCTATTGCTCCCTCCTCCTCTTCCTCCTCCTCCTCCTCCATTTTCTTCTTCTTTTTTCTCTCTTTCTTCCCTTAACCCTTACAAAAATTTAGTTATCCATGTGTTTCCTTCTTTTCTTCTTTCTCTGTAAATTGCCCTCTATCGCCAAATCTTTCCCTCGCTTTCTTTTCTACCCCATCTCTCTCTTTCTTTGCCTGTAGCTCTTTATGTCTGTCTGTCTCGATGTCTGTCTGTCCCCCCTCCATCTCTTCTCCCATTACTGACCCTTTTGCCTATGTCTGCTTCATTTTGTCCCTCTTGGTTCTCCTCTCATCCACTTCATCTCCCTTCCCCTTCTCTTTTTTTCTTTTTTCCATCCCTTACACTCTTTCTCCACCCTGCCTCTGGCCTTCTTCTCCGTTTCTCCCTCTCACCCTTTCTGCTCCTCTCACCTTTTCTATTCTTTCTGCTTCCGACTCTCCGCATCACTCCCTCTCTTATCCCTACTCTCGTTTCTCCCTTATGTTATTTTCTCCCAACTCACATCTTCACCCTCTATCTCTCTCCCCTCTTCCTCTCATCTCCCCTCACTTTCTCCTTTGCCCATTTGGCCAGTGTCTCTTTCAATCCGTTTCTGCATCGCCCCCTTTTCCCCCACATCATCTTCCTCTCATTGTTTGTTTATCAAAATTGTTTCCAATAACATTACAAACAGCTTTCTCGTTACCATGGTGAGACATACACAAACTATGTTTGTATCTTCCAGCTATAACATAACATTGCCCTCTCTCCTATCATCTTCCCCTTAACCCCCCCCCCCCCCCCCCCCCCCCCGCCACTGGTGCCGATCCTGCTACAAGTGCTACCCACTCTACGCCATCTATTGGTTCATGAAGTCAAATGGGAGGAGTCCTGTCGACTCTCAACCAATCACACCAAAGGGAACAAGACATTCCTAAAAATACAACATTAAACCTAAACATCGAGGAACAGATTTGGGAGAGACTTGGGAAAGCTATTCATCAATCCGAGATCAAACCTCGATCTGGCGCTGGTGGCAAACCTCAACAAAAATTCACACCGTTTTGTGAAAGATAACTTCAGACTTGTTCCAGGACCTCCAGAAATTTCTCTCACATAAAACCGGTCCAATATCAGCAGAAGAAAAGGAAATATCAAATGGGGTAAGTGACATGCTCATCTTTTGCAATTCTTTGTGCATATCCTCAGGCATAAACTGGGGTACAGGTTTTTCTCCTCATTTTCCACCTTTTCTTGTGTTCCTCCATAGCTTTAATATTCACTTGGTAATTGCATGAATGTTTGCATTTCTATCGAAAACTGTCAAGTACAAACTCACTTTTCTCAAAGTCATACTTTCAAGGTACTATTGAATTTCATGAGAAATGAAAGTTGTTGAAATTATGCATTTAAATTAATGTGGAAAAGAAATCCATGCACTCCTAAAGTTTAAGCAAAATAAGAATTACCAAATTTATCAATAACACCCTGATGTATGTCTATCTTGAAGTATGTTAGGCATATGCATGTACAAAAGGTGACATATATTTAATTATCTGTAGTGTCAACCTCTGGTGAAACAATTCACTCTTTAATTTTCTCGGTTAATTCAATGTGTACAACACATGGTTGATTTAGAGGGGGGCACAACTGGCCTGTGACCCCCAACTAAGTTTGCATACCCTAATTCCATAACCCCCCCCCCCCCCCCAAATATATAAATATAAAATTAGTAACATAAATATTTATTGTTGTCAGGTAGTTTGGTCGAGGTCTTTAGACATGTTACTATGTTTTATACAGAATTAAACCAATTCAGATTTCAACACATCAGTTTTTTTTTTTTTTTTTTTTTTCTTGCAGGACTCTGAGAACCATTGCATTTGTTTTCCTCCTGTGCTGTGCACTGGTGGAAGAGAACAATGCTGTTCCCATTCCTCAAACCACTGCAGACCCTGCCCTGCCGCTGGAGACCGAGCTCTACACTGAAACATACACAGAGGTCGTTCATGAGACTGTGCTGTCTTCTGACACAGAGGGCACCATACAACAAAGGCAGGAGAGACCATTGACTGGCCCAGTTGCTGAAGTGAGTGTCTCAGGAAATAAACTTTCCCCTGACAATAAGTTTCATGATTGTTTCAAGTACGGTATATACCGGTATATAAATAAATCAGTTTGAGGATATGAAGAGGAACTCCATATTATCTCAGTTGTCGACTGAATGATGTATGAATATGACAAGACCACAACAATATTCACTTCAATATACCTGTATATGAATATATGCAAAATATACATGTACATATTTATCCATTTGCTACATTTTACATTGATACTCTAATTGTGCACTGTATACATGTATTATTTTAATATATTATGTCTTTCTTTTTATAAATTATCATCAACGGACTTTTTTATGGGATCTTTCTTGAGAATTATATATCTTTCATGAGTGATGTGGAAATAAATGAATTAGAATACCCTAGGGTGGCCTTCATAGTGGTTGTATCCTTCGCTCTTATCACCAGTAATCCACTTTCAGAACTCAACTATAGACATACCTATTTCAGATTGCTTACATTTAGTCACTGCTTTTTTTTTTTGTCTTTTCCAGTTAGAATCATGAACAGACATTTTTGGTAGTTTTTCAGTCTCATCAGCGCCTTCGATGAGGCAACTAGATATTGGCACTTTATAAATACCTGGATCGGATTGGATTTTACAAATTAATTGTGAGAAAATAGAAATATAAGACTTTAAGAACTTGCAGATAAGTGATAGGTCACTTTGAATCGATCTAAAAATATGATGAAATGTACACAAACTCTACAAATTTTTCTCTTCTTTCCATCACTTAGCCAAGCAACAATACTAGCAGAGATGACCATCAACAGTCCATGAACGCTGAGGCCAGTGACAGCATAGGCCAAAATGATTCCCTTGGAGGCGACGCTGATCACATGGCATCATCTGACACTGACACCATATCCGATGAAACAGTTTTGATATCAAGCGAGGATAATTCGAGAGACGCAGATGCAATTGTCAATGGAGATAATGACACAAATGGTTCACCACATGAGGGTGTTAACACTACAGCCGCAAGCACCAGATCTACACCACTTGTTCTCAGTGCCACGCATCGTAACACCAATTTCATTTCAGTTAGCACTGGTTCTGCACAGAAAACCCTGAGTGATACACCGCAAGGCAGTGCGAGTAGAGAGGACGAGAGATCACATCATGATTCAAACCAAGATGAAGTCTCTGCTACACCAGATGGTGTTGATCTTACACCAAAGCACTCTGGATCTTCCTCAGTACCTCATCATTTGACACCAAGTACAGCTGGACATGATCTTACACCAGAACACTCTGAACTTCAATCAACACTTCATCATTCAACACCAAGTTCAACTGGTCATGATTTGACACCGGAAGACTCTGAACCTTCAGCAACAGTTCATCATTTGACATCAAGTACACCTAGGAATTCACACCATACACCTTCCCCCATATCTCACCATTTGACTCCAAGTACAGCTGGACATGATCTTACACCAGAACGCTCTAAATCGTCATCAACACCTCATCATTTGACACCAAGTGCATCTGGGATTTTACACCACAGGACTGGATCAATACCAAGAGCACCTCAAGACGAATCTGTTGAAAATGAAATCACTCCATCGCTTGAACCGTATGTGACGGAAATGTATACAGAATTTGTTGAAAGGACAGAACTTGTGATGTCTGATCCTGATTCCAAGTCTGAGGAAACCATTTCGGCACAAGACGAGGGGGACGCAGAGCATAGGGTAATCAGCAAAGCTGAAGACGAAATTGATGATGAACCCGCAAGCTCTACACCAAGAATAGCAGGAATTTTACACCATACACTTTCAACAATACCTCATCATTCAACATCAAGTACAGCTGGGAATTCACACCATACGCCTTCACCTATACCTCACCATTTAAAACCACGTACAGCTGGACATGATCTTACACCCGAACACTCTGAAACGTCATCAACACCTCATCACGTGACACCAAGTGCATCTGGGATTTTACACCACAGGACTGAGTCAATACTCAAAAATGAAATCACTCCATCACTTGAGCCGTATGTGACGGAAATGTATACAGAATTTGTGGAAAGGACAGAACTTGTGATGTCTGATACTGATTCCAAGTCTAAAGATGAAATTGATGATGATCCTGCAAGGTCTACACCAATAGTGGTCAGCTCTACACCCCTTGTGGTTAGTTCTATTTCACAAAACACTGATCAAATCAAACACAGCACCAGTTCTACACTCCCTCATCTCAGTGCTGAACCATTTGACTTTGCTGACAGGATGGCCATGACACCATATGACATCCTGTCAAGTCCAAACACAATTGCAATGGTTGACACCAATTTAACACCAGACAGTGGTGATATTACACCAACACTCTCTGATCCTTCATCGTCAGCACCTGATTTAATGCCAAATAAAGGAGTGCTTACTGCAAGTGTCTCTGTATCTAGTGCTACTCATCATGCATCAGCTTCATCTCAAGATAGGTTTGCTGGCAAAAGCATCATCCCGTTTCCTGAACCAGTGGCAACAGAAATTTACACAGAAATAATGGAAATCACAGAACTTGTGATGTCTGGCACTGAATCTGAGTCTATGGACTCCCTCTCAGCACCAGAGCAATATGATATTACACCAGAACAGTCTGATAGTACACCAGAGCAGTATGACATTACACCAGAGCAGTATGATAGTACACCAGAGCAGTATGATATTGCATCAGAACAGTCTGATAGTACACCAGAGCATTATGATATTACACCAGAACAGTCTGATAGTACACCAGAGCAGTATGATATTACACCAGAACAGTCTGATGGTACACCAGAGCAGTATGATATCACACCAGAACAGTATGATATTACACCAGAACAGTATGAATTTACACCAGAACAGTCTGAATCTGATAGTATGCCAGAGCAGTATGATATTGCACCAGAACAGTCTGATTTAACACCAGATCAGTATGATATTACATCAGACCAGTATGATGGTACACCTGAACAGTATGGTATTACACCAGAACAGTCTGACAGTATGTCCGAACAGACTGATACTGCACCAGAACAGTCTGATAGTACACCAGTCCAGGCTGATGGTATACCAGAACAGTATGATATTACACCGGAACAGTCCAATTTTGCACCAGAACAGTATTCAACACCAGAGGAACTTGCGCTTTATATACCTGAAACTGCAGAAGTCACTTCACCTTATGAATCATTTGTTACCGAAACCTACACAGAAATCATGGAAATTACTGAACTTTCATTGTCTGACACTGAATCCAAGACCAAATCAGAAGAAAATATCTTAGCACAAGTCAATGAAGATTCTGAAGCAGTTCAGGAAAGCACTAGACCTGCACCAGTCAGTTCAAGTGCTACTTCACATGACACTACAGTAGTTCAACCTGTTGCATCTTACACCGCTAGTCCAACTTCACAGAAAGTCATTGCCGAACCATCCGACACCACCTCTACAACTGATGGTCCTGCAGTTACACCAGAGCGTTCTGATCCTTCAGTTGCATATGTAACGCCAACTGAACATCAGACTCTACACCCTAGAACTGTGACTTCAACAAACAGCAAACTATATTCGACAAGGGCTCTCCAGGATAATGATATATCTCAGGAGGATGAATTGGAGGATACTGCACAATTATTTGAGCCCATTGTTACTGAAATGTATACAGAAGTGATAGAATTTACTGAACTGATGGCTGACACCGATGAGAAATCTGATGACACCTTCTTAGCACCAGAAAGTGAGGATTCAGTGCAACAAAATGTTGACACCAATGAGGGGGAAGATAATGATTATACACCCAGTTCTGATGAAAATGAGTCCTTATTCACACCAAATGCAATTGTTTCTTCTCTAGCGACCCCCGCTCTGGTTCAAGAAAGCACCAGAGAATCATTAAATAAGTCAAGCACTGGTCCAAGCAGCAACACGGTACATGTGCCACTAAACATCACAATGTCAAACACACATGAAATAAGCACTGCACTTGTTGACACCATTTCTACACTGGAGATTTCTGATTCCACACCAGACAGTCCTGATTACACACTTGACAGTTCTGATTCTACACCAGCCAGTTCTGATAATACACCGGACAGTCCTTATTATACACTAGAGAGTTCGGATTCTACACCAGACAGTCCTTATTATACACTGGACAGTTCTGATTCTATGCTGGACAATTCTGATTCTACACTGGAAAGTTCTGATTCTACACCAGACAGTCCTGATAATAAACCAGACAGCTCTGATTCTACACCAGACAGTCCTTATTATACACTGGACAATTCTGATTCTACACAGGACAGTTCTGATTCTACACTGGAAAGTTCTGATTCTAAACCAGACAGTCCTGATAATACACCAGACAGCTCCGATTCTACACCAGACAGTACTGAATCTACACTGGGCAGTCCATATTATACACTAGACAGCTCTTATCCTACACTGGACGATCCTGATTATACACTAGACTATCCCGATTATACACTAGACAATCCTGATACTACACCAGGCAGTCCTGAAACTACACTGAACAATTCTAATTCTACACCAAAGGAGACTATACAGCCGACAACGACAACCGAATCAACATTAGATGAACCTAGTAATACACATTACCCAGCCAGTCCTACAAAAGGCGCCCCTAATGGAGATAGCGTCACCCCTTCCCAGGAACCCTTTGTGACTGACATTTACACCGAAATCATGGAAATTACAGAACTTCTCATGAGTGATGAAAAAGACTGAAGAACTTTGTATGTTCTTTGCCAAAACAGTGCTTCTATTAGCCCTGTACAGACTAACAGCAAGAGGTAAAGCTCATTTTTTAATTAGACTGATGATTGTCAAAAGTTGCTGGTGACTAGTAATAATTTTAGAGTTAATTCAAGAGATCGTTTCTATGCATGGAGATCATACCCTTCTAATTAAAAGTCACTGCAATAAGCCTGCGTTTGATCTTTTCAATGCTACTGCTAATCAGAGAAAACAATTCAAGATTTATGTCTGTTATAAAAAGGGACATTATACCCTAGTCCCTATGTCAAACCAATGGATAACTAACAATCTTGGCAATTTAGTCTAACATCATTTTATATTTTGGTTATTGTCAGTGTGACTTGTGTATGATGGAAACACTGGCCTGAAAGTAAAGGGCAAGTCAGTACATCTTTTGGGCAGGCATTTTAAGTTGTTTTCAGGGAAGGGGGGGGGGGGGAAATTCGTAGCCTGGAGGGGTAATAGACTGGATGAAGTTGTCAGGGAGGGGGAAGAGCAGTTGACTAGGTGGAGTTGTCAGGGGAAGGGGGAGGGGGTAGTTGTCTGGGGATAGTTGACTTGGTAAAGTTGTCAAGGAGGTGTGTTGGGGGGGGGGGGGGGTAACTGACTACGTGTAGCTGTCAGGGGGAGGGGGTAGTTGTCTGGGGGTAATTATCTTGACGGTAGCCTCTAAGGGGAGAAGGTAGGGGTAGATGTCACTGGGGTAATTGTGTAGAGGGGTAGGCGACCATTCTTTCCTGATACTTACTGTAGTTATATATCTGGAGTGAAATTCAGGGGCATCCTGAAGGAAAACTAGGCCAGGGTGAGAATTGACTATATCCTGAAAAGAAAAGGAACGAAAAGAGCAGAACAATTGAAAAACAATTGATGTAGACATCATAACCAGATCTACGAAGAGTAATGTTCATTTCAGATTGAAAACTTAAAATAATTCAATTTGTATATATCTGTACATATAATTCAAAATCATAGATATCACGATAGCAAGAGGATTAATTTTGATGAAACTACATACCATTGTGCCAATTTATCATCTGTAAAGAGCCAAAAGGGCTTGAAGTCTGTGTAGAAGTTTAATTGCTATAACCCTTCTGGCTCAAGACAGATGATACACTAATATTGGGATTGAAGTCATTTTGAGTTTCTGGTTATGGTCCAGGTTAGAGTTACAAGCTACAATTTTTCAACAATGCATAACCCTAACCCATGTTCCTTATATCAAGCATGGTGATTTCAGAAAAAAAATGCAGATGGAAAATTTTCCCAGACAGAGGTACAAACCAGGGTAATAAACCTTTAAACCTCCTGAATTGCAAACCACCTGCCTGAGTATGCTGTATGGCCATATTTCTCTAAATTTTGACCAATAAGAACATCAAAGCATAATTTCAACCTGCACAAAATGCTTTGGTGCTCTCAAATCACTCCTGTGGGATGCAGTAAAGTAATTTTGTTTTTACTATGGACAGAGACTCTGAGAGTAACCAGTTTTCTGACAAGAACCCTATCAGTTATAGCACCTGAGAAGTTACTTAGTCTGGAATACAAACCTGTACTAAAGGGTTGAAGTCTTCAGGTGTGAGGTCTTTGGCCCCAGGCCTTGACAGTAACCGGAAGAAGCGGGAGGCATCGTCGTGACACTGTTTCGTTATCCTGGTACAAAGACAAAGAAAAAGAAAAGAAAATGGTAAAAAAAGATGATAGCAACAATATTCTGTTCCGGTACAGTGCATACCACATATTTAGCAATGAATCTATGCGTCTTTAACTATCTTTGGATTTTTACCCCAGCGCAGCTTAGCTGTACTGATAAAGTTCTGAAGCATTCACAGAAGTCTTGTCTTCATCAGCTCGAGTTTGCCAAATTACCTGCTATTTTCAGACTCGGGATATTATCCCGGAGCTCGTAATTGCGTCTTCACCAGACCTACATGTATATGCTCATCACAAACTAGCTCGGACGGGCACAAATTAGCCTGCTATTTCCGAAATAGTGGGATATTTTGGAAACATGACCAATATTTCTCGAGATATTTTCTCGACCAAATATCCCGCTAATTGCAACCAGGGCTGATGAGGACGCAAATTAACTGGTTAATTTTCGATCGGGATAGTTAAAATAGCAGGTTATTTGGCAAACTCGAGCTGATGAGGACAGGCCTAGAATTTCTTCCTACCAGGTACCTACTTACTTGACCTGGGTCACCTGGGAGGAATGCAGAAGATGTAGATTAATTGTGGCAGGACGATGGTAGTAAATGCTTGAAGATAGGAATTGAAGTATTTGAAAAGACTGATTTTTATTGGTTTCGTCCATGTAATGTTTTACAAAATAACATAGAATGCTGCAATATATTACAAAAAGTGTAAATAGAGAACGATTATTGTTGCTAATAAAATGAGCATCCCATTTCCTTATAAAAAATTGTCAAATTTTGTTTTACCCTAAAAATGAATTTTATCATTGAATGCCTTTTTTTCTTCTTGAAATTAAAAAGAATTTTTTACATTTTGTTGCATAAAAGCGGAAAGCTGTTATTTGATATAGTATTAAAGCATTCTGTACATGTAAACATATATGACTTTGATTTGTTATCTGAATTCATTTAAAATTTTCACTTAAAAGCAATATATTTAGCAATGAAAGAAAATATGCATAATACAAGAGAAAGAAAAGAGGAGAGGGTTGATAGAAATAGAAGAGAAATATGAGAGAAATATATATAGAGAGAGAGGGGGAGAGAGGAAGAGAGAGAGAGAGAAGAGAAAGAGAGAGAAGAGAGAGAAGAGGGAAAGAGAGGGAGTGAGAGAAAGAGATAGAGAGAAAGAGATAGAGGAGGGAAAGAGAAAGAGAGAGAGAGAGAAGAGGGAAAGGGAGAGAGATAGGGAGAAGAGAAGAGAAAGAGAAGAGGGACGAGATAGAGGAGAGGGACGAGATAGAGGAGAGAGAGAGAGAGAGAGAGAGAGAGAGGGAAAGGGAGAGAGAGAGAGAGGGAGAAGAGAAGAGAAAGAGAAGAGGGAAGAGGTAGAGGAGGGAAAGAGAGAGAGAGAAGAGGGAGAAGAGAAGAGAAAGAGAAGAGGGAAGAGAGAGAGAGAGAGAGAGGGAGAAGAGAAGAGAAAGAGAAGAGGGAAGAGGTAGAGGAGGGAAAGAGAGAGAGAGAAAAGAGGGAAAGGGAGAGAGAGAGAGAGGGAGAAGAGAAGAGAAAGAGAAGAGGAAAGAGAGAGAGAGAGAGGGAGAGAGAGAGAGAGAGAAGAGGGAAAGGGAGAGAGAGAGGGAGAAGAAGAGAAAGAGAAGAGGGAAGAGAGAGGGGGAAGAGAAGATAAAGAGATATATAGTGCAATAAGGAAAGTTGAGCTATATATAAGAAAGTGCAACATTAGAGAAATTAAAAGAGATATTAGAGCAAGATTTAAACAAATATAGAGCAAGAGAGAGAGAGAGAGATTAAGGTGAAAGAAAGAGAGATTGTGTAGCAAATATAACAAGATGAAAAGGAGGAGGTTGTGACAGATTCTTAATGTACAACTCAGTTTTGCAAACGGCTATCAAATAGGACAAAATCATGCCAATATTTACTCGGCAAGAAACTAGCTCCGATGTTTGGTCAAGGAGAGCAAATTTACATCTTTTTGAGATTGACACATTAAATGGACACTGATATTGACACAGTGATTTAAGTTCAGACAAAACACACAGCCAGCATGAGGGCCATTCTAGATATATATGCATACAAAATATTCAAAGGAATTAGAAGAAAAATGCATGATATGCATCCATAAGGTCGTATTTTATACCATATGCACTTATATGTTAAATCATGTTAATATTTCAAATTACAGAATATCAGTCAAATGTACAAAACTTGAAAAATTTATTAGAAAAGAGAGAATTTTCAGATAAATATATTATGTTTCAAACGAATGTTATACATCTCTCTGGAAACATATGCCAACCGTCTTAAAGAATATCATCTTAAAATCAAACAACTGTCGGACATCTAAAAGAAAATCACTACAAGCATTATCTGTTCTGATATTTCTGAATAGGTTTGTGTACGATGTCAACCACCAAAGCTATGAAATTTGTTTCTGAATAATTAGTATATAGTCAAACCTGTCTGTAGTGATTGCCCAAGGGAAGCACAAAAAGTGGTCTTTGAAGACAGGTTCCTTTAGTACATGTTTTAATAAGAAACAATTTTCAAGGGAAAGAAAAATGTGGTCTTTGTAGACAGGTGGTCACTAAAGCAGGTTTGACTGTAGTACATTTAACCTTATAATCTGAAGTGGTATATACATGAACTCAATGAAATCCACTTCATGTTTTAAAGGGCTTTTTTTTGTCAATACAAACCACCTATTTCCTGGTCTACAATTAGTTGCCTAAAGATGTAATTGATTCTTAAGAGTTGGGTGAAGTCCCAGAAGATAATGAAGCTTTTAAAACTCATGATGTCACATTCTGGGATATAACTTTACAAGAAGTCAAACAAATGTGGGAAGTACCCTTTTAAGATTCTGATCGATTTCAGGATATGGATTTGTTATCGAGTGCACTCTCAAACATTTGAAGTGCACTGGGTATTTACCTCCCAATTGCAAATTCATACATATCTCATTTTATCTATCTCTCATTTGCTCTGTATCTTTCTTTCTTTGAACATATCTCTCTCTGGATTCCTCTCCCTCTGATGTCTCTTTCAAACTTAACATTATCTTTCTAACTCACTCTGTCCTTCTATCTCTCTTCATAATTCCCCCATTCCATTTAATCTTTATTGGATTGATTGAATATTAATTATATATTATATTTATTAATAATATTAAATAAATAGTGAACATTTAAAATGTGCCATGTCTGTCCAAAATGACACTCCTGGCGCAGTTGTGTGGATATTGTATAATTGTGGGCATACGATCATTGCACCATATTCAGTTCTTTCATTATTTTCACTCTCTCCCTCCCACTATCTCTCCTTTTACTGTTTTTTTTAAAGATTTGAGTGCTAGATTTTCTAGATTTTCTGCTCTTTTCCTCCTCTCTAATCAAGAAGTTATCAATCTGTACTGAATAATCTGAATTCAGTATAATTCTGTTTCACTCTCAATTTATGAATCTTTATTATATTTATTTTCTCATGCTTTCTCTGTTGTTTTAATTATTCCTTCTCTCTATCCCTCTCATGCCATCTCTCCTCTTATACCTCCCTTTTGCTTTTTTTCTGTTTTTCAATATCTATGTCTCTACCTCCCTCCTTTTTTCTTCCTCCCCCTCCCTCTCTCTCTCTCTCTCTTGCACACACTCTCTCTATCTCACATGTGCCATCCCTAGGCCCTTTCTCTCACGTCTCTCTCACGTCTCTCTCACCTCAAACTTGCTTTCTCTGTTTTCATCTATGTCTCTGTCTTTCTCCACCTCCCCCGCCCCAATATATATTTGTCATATACCTCTCTCTCTTTCTCTTTCTTCTGCTTTCTTTGTGTTTTTCTTGAATATATCTGTCTGTCTGTCTCTTTCTCTATTTCTATTTCATTACACCAATCACTCTGCTTGTCCCTTCTTGTTTCCCTCTCCTTTTGTCAAAAGAAAAAATCTGTCACAATCAATATATTTTCTTTCCATCAACTTGCTTTACAGGTACAGGTTCATATAACTAAACCCAGCAAGTAAAGTACAGCAGGACATCTCGGCTATCCTGTCCATATTTTTCAAGCTGATGTAGTAAGTCTCTGCAGTCATATCTCTCTGATTTTAGTCAATAAAAATAGCAAGGTACTAAAACTTATCGATACCTTCCTCCTAAAGTTGGATATTAACCATTTCTTAGCCATCACATTTACGGGTAATTGTCCTAAATGAATAAAGAGGAGTGAAATTGCTATTCAAATTGTTTTGTTTCACTGATACACTGGGCATAGAGTATCTTCCATTAAATAAACATCACAATAGGGGCAATTATTACCTTTTTATCTTGAAGAACACATTGTTCAACACTCAAATTCTTTGGCAGGATTCGCTGCACATGGTATGGCAGGGGTTAAGCAAGAAAGGGAGGTGAGATATAATTAACATCCCGGTCATTTTGCTTAGGTTTATTCATCACACAGCTACATGAACTAAAAGCAGTTGTCCTTTTCTGAACTCTGGATGGAATGGATGATAGCTTGTCCATGCATCTCTTTTAGCCTTGAACAAGCTCAAGATTGAGATATTAGATCTTTTACTGCTTCTTAAAGGGAGTGTAGCTTGGCAAATACTGGTTAATGCCATCTACGTCTCGCTAGCATTCGCGAAAAAAGACCAAAGTTCTCCTCACGCTTCAGTAATTCTGCGGGTGTCTGTAGTCATTTGGCCCCAAGTCAGGCCACCAGGCCACGGGAAAGACACATATTCTTGTCAGGCTACACTCCCTTTAAGACAAATAGTCTGTGTTTGAAGTTCCTGATCTCCATTTCGCTTGAGCAATGCTCCCTCGCTTGAGGAATCAGGTACGTGAGGCTTCTCAGCATACATGTAATCCAAGTATTTCTTCATTGCTAAATTAGCCAACTAATTGGCCAAAGAGCAGCCAAGTCGAAGTGTGCTTGGAATAATACAGGGCACCATACCAAGTTTTTCCATTAGGGGTTAAGATCATAAGATCTGTGTTCAGATGGGACCTTATGTGAAAATTCTAAAATTTTGAGGGGGGGGGGGGAGGAGGGGATAGGTTAAGGTGCCCATGTGTATCAGATGACTGTTAGTTTCAAGCCCTGGATTTCTTGAGCTAAAAAATACTCCAGACTGAAAGAGCCCACCTTTTATATGTGCATCTTCACTAGAATAATGTAGCTTGCTCTAGGATCAGAGTCAGGCTTTTTAAAAATCTCGGGCTAATGAGGACAGGCCTAAAGGGAAGGGGGATAGTTTGCGTGCCTACAGACTATCTTTGACCGGTGTATGTTTACAATCACAAGAGCAGGGGCTTTAAGATCCGAGGCGCTGTACACCCCGAACTTTCCCCAATCAATCATTACGGGGAAGATAAGATCTGTCGGAGGGGACATCTTGCGTTATTTCATCTCCAAGCCCAATTATCTCTGATAAAATGCTTCATGAGGAATCTCTCTATGCAATAAATCTAGTTAGAGCCTCAAACATACATCCTAATACCACCCACACATATGTATGTGGGACTACATCATTTATGAGGTTTTCCAGCAAAGGCACATAAGTTCTACAGATTAAACTGTCACCTTTTTCCCCCTCAAATGTAATCTGGTGAGAGTGAAAAGGGCATTAACTCCATGTCAAAAGTATATGATTTAATGCCCTTCTGGCTCTCCCCTGTTGGACTCTTCCTTTTTGTTTAAAATAATGGTCATGAGATTTGCCTCACTTGGAAAATCAAATTATTTGTTAATTTAAAAGGCCTCTGATTATTTTTAATACACAAACTTCTCTCTTTATTTTTCTTTATTTTTTTCTTTCTTTTCCTTTTTTCCTTCCCAAAATAGACTGAAAACTCATTTATTCACAAGCAGTTTTCTTAAACTTAGTTGGTATCTGATTAATACTGTAATACTGGTAATAATAATAATAATAATAGTAATAATAATATGTCTTGTTTTGCCCAGGGTAGCCTTATAAGTATTAATACTGTTCTTCCTGAGGGCCCTGTGTAATCATATTATTAATTAACCCGGCTCATTTGAACTGTATTTTCTTATCTTGCCTAATTCTATCTCCTTTCCTTATCCACCAAAGGACATAGGAACTGAAAAGCTATGCGCTATACAAGTGTCTTTAATTATTATTCCGTTCTCTATCATTCAGTTGAGGGGAGGAGGGGGACACCTACCCCCCTCCATCCCTATAGCATCACTGTTATAAAGTAGGCCTACTTAATCTTGAAACGAACACTCTCAATTACAATTTTTAAGCCAACTATATTTGGTGATAGGGGTCGGAGGTGTCAAACGGATCGGATGGCAATTTGTGAGAGCGTGTTGGACGAGCAACTATAGCAGTCATTCTGAGCATTGCAACCAATTAGCACTCAACATATGTGGACTGTTAATGAAACCTAGTCTTCAGCTTCAGACTCAAGTGTTTTGAGAAAATGACCTCCAATGAATTTTGCGAGCATGAATCATCTGGACATGTACTTCGGTTGATTTTATAGAGAAAATATGATATAATAATATGGTTGTTCTCTAAAATAGAATTCAATTGCATACATGTAGATATAGTTTATCTGTCAGTTTGATTTCATGATATATACTGTAATGCATTAATTAGAATTGGCTATTTTTAGTAATGTAACCAATTTATACTCAAGTGCCTTGATACAAATTATTTCATTCACCTGTAACCAACAATAGTATTTCAATAGTCAGTATGCAAATTGCATATATTACGTGTTGTTGGGTAGGGCAAGCCACAATGTTTGTCCTACCTAGCAACAACTAATGCAGCAATTTGAATTTGTGTGTTAGCGTCGAGCCATGTCTTTATCATAAGTCTGATTGAGAAGACTAGTTGTGGTACTTGGCCTGGTTTGCGGAGAGGGATAGTTTGAACAGATTGGGGCTATCATCAAAGTGATGATGATGATCGTGCCGCCAGGAGGATGAAAGACTGCATTCATATGTTCACCATTCTATATTTAGAACCATACATGTTGAGTTAACAACTAAATTATTTGTACCCTTACCAAGTTTTGTTATGTTTTAAGTGTATATGCAAAATTGATGTGTCTTGATTCTGTTTCTTGGGAATGTGACATATTGAAGCTTACATATAAAAGTATTCAACAAAGGTCCTGATTCAACCAGTCCACCTTTTATTCTTGAGTTGAAACCAAAAAAACATCAAATTTACAAGGTATGAATACGTAAATTTTCACTGTATTGATGATCAGAAACGTGTATGAATTCCACACAAGCTTTAATGTATTAAAATGTATAATGTCTACAAAGGCCCCATTTTTTGTTTCCCTTGAAAATGATTTCTCATTGAAACATGTACTAAAAGGAACCTGTCTACAAAGACCACTTTGTGTGCTCCCTTGAGCGGTCACTACGGACAGGTTTGACTGTAGTTTCCTAATATTTGTTCAGAACATCATGCAGTTACCAAATTGCAAAATGACATAGGCAAGATAAAATCTCCGCAACTGATCAATGTGATGGCGTTTGGTCAGACTAGGAGGCTATTGAGATACTGTGCAGCATGACAATTATCTTATCAGATGAGCAAATGCTACACCTTATCACAACTCCAAATTGAACTGGAAAGGTATCAAAAACAAAATGTGATCTATGAGAACATACGTCTTTGCATTTGGAGCGAAAGGTCATTATCTAATGACTCTGTCAGAATGTCTGTTTTTCTGTTTCTGTCTCACTGCCTGTCTATTTCTATCTCAATGTCTGTCTGTTTGTCCCCCCCCCCCCTGCCCCCTTTCCTGCCTCTCTCTTTTTTTCACTCTTTCTCTTTTTCTCTCCAAACTTACCAATTCTTTTCTTTAACACCGGATCAAACACGGCACTAACCCTAACCTGATCCCTATATACTCTGATAAAACAAAGCCCGGATAATACTGAACCACGAGAGCACATAACGAATATAATATTGCAAATAAAGATTTCTGTGTACCTTCTCCACATAGCCATGAAAGCTTGAGCCGACACACACTCTGAAGTCTCTCCTCCTGCTGCATTGTAGAGGGGTACCCTCCAGAACTTGGGACATCTACAGGCCTGTGGAGGGGGAGAGAAAGGGGGAGGGAGAGAAAGGGGGAGGGAGAGAAAGAGGGAGGGAGAGAAAGAGGGAGGGAGAGAAAGAGGGAGGGAGAGAAAGAGGGAGGGAGAGAGAGGGAGGGAGAGAGAGAGGGGAGGGAGAGAGAGGGGGAGGGAGGGAGAGGGGAAAGAGGGAAAGATAGAGGGAGTGGGCGAGAGAGAGATAAAGAAAGAAAGATAGATGGAGATGGAGAGAGAGAGAGAGAGAGAGAGGGGGGAAGGAGAAATGGAGAAAAGATGAAAGAGACAAGAGAGGGGGAAGGGAGAAAAAACAGAGAAAGAGAGAGAAAGAGAGAGAGAGAGAGAGAAAGAAAGAAAGAGAGAGTGAGACAAAGAGAGAGAGAGAGTGAGACAAAGAAAGAGAGTGAGAGATAGAGAGAGGGGAGAAGAGGCAGTTGGGGAGGGAGAGAGAGAGAAAAAAGAGATGTTTGTAAATTCAAACTTGTGGTGGATCTCAAATAAAGACTACATGAAGATATAATTTTATGCAAACAGTTATTCCATAATAATCTTGCCAAGGATGGTCCAATGATTCATCTCTGTTCAGAGCCAGAAGGGCATTAACCCTGTGTTAAAGTATATGACTTAACACTCTTCTGGCTCCAAACATACAAAATAATCATCTACTCACCTACATGTACATACTAAGTAGGAACCTAAAATAAATCAAGCAATTATCTATGTAGACCAGCATGATCTAAGCCAAAGCCCAAAGGTATCAAACATGGGGTAAATATTGAACATCAACAGCTCTTATGTTATGAGAGCCTGGATGTTTGGTGTTTCTTGTCATTGCTGGTTTATCTCCATAAATAGTTCTCACCTGGGACCCCTTTCACACTTGTGTCCTACATAATGAACAGACCTGGGCCCCGTTTCACAAAACTTGTCATCAGTGACAAATTACAGTTTTTGTTATAAGCTACTAAAATCCTTGCCTCTGATTGGTTATCAGCAGATTTGTCACTGATTTTTGTCATTTGTCATTGTAAAAGGGCTTTGTGAAACGGGTCCCAGGGCCCTGTTTCATACAACTTGATATCAATAACAAGTTACAAGCCACTGTTATAAGCTATTGAAATAATGGCATGTGATTGGCTGAGAGCAAATTTGTCACAGAAATTTGGCATTTGTTATAGATTTAAAAAAATTATGAAAAGGGCCCCAAGTCTGGCATAGGTCCTGGAAAAAAAAAAACTTTTGACACCCCTTTCATACTTAAATGCCCTGTACATAATGTCCAGATTGAGCCAAAATCACATTAAAAATGTTGGATCCTTGCCAAATAATTAATAATACCTTTCCATGGTGTTCATAGTAGTTGCACAAATTTGTTTTCCTTGCAGTTGTATTTCCATGGTTATTTTTTAATTATATTGTGTATTCTTATTCATTTTCTTTTTGGGGTGTGCTAAACAACTTATACAGAGTGAGTCTTGATGTTCTCAAACAAGTTAAAGCTCATGACTGGTGAAAAGAAAAAATGCATGAGAACACTCACAAATGTTATTTTGATCTTTAGTTTCTTTACCAGAATTAAACCTTCTCTTAAAAGATTAAAATGCTTAAAACTGGTCATAGAGCAAGTTTTGATTGATGTTCTCAAACACTTTGAAGTTTATGACTGGTAAAAAGAAAGAAGAATGTGAACACTCACAAATGATTTTTCATCTTTACCAGAATTAACCCTTCTCTTAAAAGATTAAATTGAAACTGGTCACGACATGGGCAGCTGAGCTGAGAGATAATTCGAGGATTGAACTTGTCCTCGATCGAGAGGGTGTGATGTTGAAGATGGAGAGAGTATTAGCAAGCAAGGCCAGGCTAATTCAGCACGGATCCACCTGATCAGGGATCAGAGCACATGTACATCACACTCCCTCGCCCCCCTCGATAATCAATCAAATATCTCAACTGGTCAGGGCACAGTAGGCCCGTCTTCATCAGCTCAAGTTTGCCAAATAACCTGCTATTTTAACTATCCCCATTGCAAATTTTCCAACTAATTTGCATTTTCATCAGCCCGCAGTTGCAATTAGTGGGATATTTCGTTGAAAATGTCCCGATGTATCTTGGTCTTGTTTCCAAAATATCCTGCTGTTTGGGAAAGAGTGGGATAATTTTGCACCCATCCAAGCTAGTTTGTGATGAGCGTATCGGTCTGGTTAACACGCAATTTTGAGCTTCAGGATAATATCCCGAGCTGATGAGGACAGACCTAGTCAAGTCTAACCAATTTAGGCAGATTATCAGAACCATGTCGTTTTCATGCTTGAACAGCATTGCTCATAGAGGGATAGAAATATAGCAAGCCCGAGTGAAAATATTGTTTTATAAATCTTCACCTTTCAATTATTTTCATGTACATTTGAAACCTGTCTATAAAGACAACCCAAAGAAGATAAGAAAAGTGGTCTTTATAGGCAGGTGGTCTTTATGTACAGGTTCCTTTAGTACATGTTTCAATGAGAAATTGTGGTTTTTCTATACAGGTACCGGTAGATATTAAAGCAGGTCTGTGTATAACTATTTCTTACTAGGAACCTGTATTTTCTGACATGTGGATCGAACCCTTTTTCCATTCTGTACCTCTCTTGGAGCGATTTCCAGGGTTCAATTGCCAACTGCTCATGCTTTTTTGGCACTGGCACTCTCTTCCATATTATTTGATATGACAAAGTGTAAGATAAGTTTCTTGGCTCAGTATTTCAACAAAAATACAGGTTCATCATGTATGACAGTATGATAAGACTATATTGAGAATATTAATCACTAAAAATAGTTACAAAAACCTCTAAGAAGGTGGGGGATTAGTAATCTTAAATTTATCTATTATCAAACCAAGACTGGGGCAAAATCTTCCCCTGTACCAAACTCTGCTATCCTACTTCTACCCCTTTCCCTAACCCCAACCATATCATCATACATGTAATTGTAATTCTTGTTTACAGATACATGTACCGGGTATATATTTTGTCATTCTCATAATGTATTTTCCTTTGAACATTGAACACTGTCTCAATGTACACTAAAATTCAATTGTAAACATGCACGTTTCTATACTTCTCTGGCATTTATGTAATTAATGTTCATAAATGTTGAACATTTTGCAAAACTCCCTCTCTCTTTATCTCTAAATTGCCAATAAATGTTCCCATGAATAAATAATTTCTCCTTCATCAACCCATGCCAGACATGCAAACAGCTGTGTGCACTTTCAACAGCATCAATGGGTCAAAGTTATGGAGGAATATTTTGAATACATAGCGCATTCACATGAGGGGAAATTCATACACATCTTGTAAAAACTAAAAAGAAACGTCATCAGTGTATACGGTAGTGAAAAGAGCATACAGAATAGAAAACAATATTGCATAAAGAAATGTCATATAAAAACTAATTTCAAGGAGGCCAGTTGACATAAAAGCTGGCCAATCGTCACTCTACAAGTCTTCAAAGCTTTGTTGAACACCTACTTGTTTCCAGAAGCTTTATAATAGTTTATGGTAATGTTGTGTGTCCGTAAAGTAGAACTGAAATTAATTCCCCCCCCCCCCCCCGCCCCCATCAAAGTGTAGTAGAGTATAGTAGCTGTGCTATAAAAATTTATCAAATTATCATTATAATTATTACACTCAAGATACATGTAAACCTTCCCAGTTGTATGGTATTTGTATGATACAATTTTCCCTTTTGATGTGGACCCTAATTCTTTTACAAGGTTTTGTTGGAACCGATGCTAAATCCTTCATTTCGCCATCTGACTTTCAGGTTAACATTCAGACTACAAAACAAAATTAATTAGTTATTGTATAGCAATAAGTTTTGGTAAAGCTATACAATGGGTTTTGCTAGTCTGAACAGAAACGACTTAAATGACCCATACCGTAATGATCTAATAATTATGTTTTTACTGCGACCGCTCAAGTACGGCCCTCAGCTGATGGGAAGTGAAAGAATGCCAATTTTAATCAGCTTTGATAAGCTTCATAATGCAACGCACCACAGTACACAGCTACCAAGCAAGACAGTCCAATGAACTTTGGCTCATTTTTTTCTTCATTTTCTTCATTTTTCTTGCGGGAAATCTCAAGTCCTTCAAGCGGAAAGGGGAAGGATTGTACAACATATGCTTCAGAGACAAATTAAAATTTGATATAAAAAAAAACTCAAATATCTTTAATGTTGTTAAAATTAGTTCAGGGAGAATTTTTTTTTTTTTTAGGGGGGGGGGGGGGGGGGTTGAGGGTGCAGTTTTAAAGACCGTCACCACTACTGGGCCAGAAGGGATTAGACCACACAGAGAGTCATCGAGGTCACTGTGACAGGTGGCTATCTCATTAACTCAGCTCTCATTTAACATAAGAAAAAGAGGATCATGGGGGACCAACAGGCACCGATTGGGGAAGTTTTCTAGATAGAGGGAGCAAGTAGCTACAAGTATGGCAGTGTGCCTTTAAGAGAGGGAAGAATCGATGGGTAGGTAAGGGGAGAACTTATTACCTGAGTAATTTTATCCATGTCTTCTTTGCTAGCCTTCTGATCCGGGAGTGCCTTGAAGACCTCCGTTAATCGCTTGAGTACGGCCTCGTTCTCCTCGCTGGCTACAGGCTTGCCAAAGGGAAAGTAGAACTGCGGCACGTTGACGATCTGCTGAGACTTCTGTCGTTTGTTGGCTTCCCTCTGCTCTTGAAACAACTGAAGAAAAAGAAACATTAAATTTAATACAGATCAGCTTTAAATATCATCTAAATGAACATAAAATTAACAAATTAATAAAGGATAGCAAGAAACCCATTGAAAACCCAAGTAAAGTTGGACACACTTGTTTCAAAATTTCAGCAGGTTGTGTATTGAACCAAAGTTTGACTCCTTCGAGCATACATTTTAACCTTTCTTTTCATTATACTCCTTAATGATTAACCATAAAATATAGAATATAACAAAATAATTCAATGGATTTTAAAATTACTAGCTTTACATACTAGCTTTAGGGATTGGTAGTATTGGTACCCTTTACCATATACACTGTAAGTATATGTTTTGTTTTTAAGGCATAGATTTGCATTGACCTCAATTTCATCAATACATACTATTTACCTATTTAAGACAGGAGCAAATAAGTATTTTTAAAATATGTATTTGATATTTTGAGACACGGTTTATAAGTTGTGCCTTTTCAATGACTGTTCATGCGTTATAAATGCCAATATTAACTGTATATGCACATATCCTTAAAATTGTCATAACTACATGTACATGTACCGGTACATTATTTTGTAAATAAAATAAAATTTGTATGTATTCAAGACAATGTAAACATGCTCAAATCAGCCTTTGGCTATGATGCGTTTCTCTTAAATTATAAAAACCATTATTGAATTGAATTGAAATGTAGTTACGCATCCCAAAACTATTCATCATAAGATGTACATGGTTTTACATGAGAAATAGTGTTTGCACTTATAAAACACACATACTTTTCTACTGCATCTTACGTTTCCAATCATTGACAGCCAGCTTTCTATAATCACTGAAATTGTTTCAGATGTACCGCCCGGGGCCTTGGCGGATGGACGACTTATCTATAATTACACCAATCTCTCGTCAATTCATCTTGGACACAAAGAATTAGAGTAATTTGGTGCACTGCATGACAGACATTAGCTGACCGGTAGCCCCCATCCCTCTACATGTGTTGACAGGGGCAGGGATGCATCCATACCAGGTTTTAATTCCCCTAAATTTCCACTGAACAGAGAGACAAGACTTTTTAAATACTGGTAGAAAGAATACACGCTTCAGTTCAGGGAAATAAGTTGCTATCAATATTTTGTGTCTCATGTTAGATAGAGAAATTGCTTATCACTTGTTTTACCTTATTTTACACTTTTTAATTCTTATTATGAGTAATGTATGCATAATTTGTAAATAATAATAATAATCATTTTGTAATTATTAATATTTTTACGTTTTCAAGGGGGCCGGGGGGGGGGGGGGGGGGTCGTCCAAAGCTTGAATTTTCGGACCCATGTGCGCGGGAAGTGGAACCCAGTTAATGTTGAGCCTTGTGTATGAATCTTTTTCCTCTCACTTGAGAAAAAAACAATGCTCCCACCAAAAATCATGAGAACAAAAACTTGTATGGATGCACCCAACTCTTGGTATAAGATGAGGAATTTTGCAATGACGTCATTACATTGAGCTGGTCTTTAGCTCTCCTCATTTTAATAGGTCATTTCTTAAAGCTGGTGCCTAGCTGATATGGTTGCTACACTGCAAATGTAATTTCTTATCAAAGTTTTCAGATGGATCAATATATATCTCAAACAGGTAGTGTTTCAAAGAAGAGTTGTATGACAATAGCAGATAATAAAGAAGACCGGTAGATATGTGTACATAAAATTTGATACATGTAGGTATACAATGATTATCTTTGAACATGGAGAACCATATATGCTAATATATTTTATTAATGAAGGGCCTCTTCATAAGATACAAAGTGCCTACAACAGAAATACTAACATAAAAAGAAAGAAGCAAACATCATCATACTAAGCTTAATTACAAACAAAGAAGAATATCATCAGTTTTATGACAAATTAAAAAAGATGTGTCTTCAGACACTTTTTGAATGCTTTGAGGGTGCACATGTAGCAATTAGTGCTGTAGTCAAACGTTTAACCGTCCGGTATCCGACCGCCGATGGCGGATTCCGTTTTCAATTGGACGGTTTCGTTTTCCCGTTTTTTTTTTTTTTTTTTTTTTTTTTTTTATAATTTTTTTTTTTTTAATATTTTTTTTTTTTTTTTTTTTTTTTTTTTTTTAAAGTTTCGATTTATGCCCCTCCACCTGGCACTATGCCTGGCAATGTCTCCCAGCTCAGTAATCGGTGTGATGACTTACCACTTGGAAACTAGAACAACACTCCAATTTGTCTGTCATCTTGGTTTGAAAGTAATCTTTGTAATAGATCTCAATATATATTCATCCAAGTTTAACACATGGTGTACTACAAGGTTCTATCCTAGGTCCTCTACTGTTTTTAATTTACTTTAATGATCTTACACATTATTCTAAAACGACATTGTTACTATTATTTGTGACTAGTACACGAGCACAAATCGGCGCCTTCAGTTAAATCACCTTCCTGCTTTTTCACACGGCCCCCCAAAAAAAAAAAAAAAAAAAAAAAACGATTTTTTTTTTTTTTTTTTTTTTTTTTTTTTTTTTTTTTTTTTTTTTTTTTTTTTTTTTTTTTTAATTTTTTTTTTTTTTAAATAAATCGTTTAACCGAAAACCGTCCGGTTTTGACAGGCGGTTAAACGGAATTGGAGATATCCGTGATGTTACAGCACTAGTAGCAATTCATACAAGGGGTAAGGAGGTCCAGGTTTTGGAGGCAATAATATACAAAAAAGGTTAGTCTTCGGGAAATCGATTGCACTTTACTTTCTATTTTACAATATATCTTAACAATGGGAAAATAACATTAACTGAAAGTATTTTAAAAATTGTTACAATTGCCACTAAATCAAAATTGTTTGAGTTTTTGTCCTAGTGTAAAAATCTAACAAATGATATCATCTCCCAAACATGTTTTGTGACATCATCAGATTTATTGGTACCCTTGCTCGTAGCATGCAGTGCCATTAAAAGACTGGTGTATCATCAAGTGCACATATTTCTGCAGTGAATGACCGGATGTACTATCAACTCATATGAACCAGGAAGATATGAGTTTTATCTGTTGATGACATCATCATTCCAAGTCATTCTAAGAAGTGAGTCAAGTGAGGTCTCAAAATCTGTTTAAAATCCTTTACAGGAAGAAAAAAAAGTAATAACTGTAACCCAGCTATTTTATTGGAACAATTTTATCATTTTTATGCAATGGTTAGCCCTCTCACAAGTCATTTTAAAGGCATTGTTTAGCAATGTTTCCAGTTTTAAAAATCTGAGATGCATGGGCCTACATGTTATCAGTGACTGTGATATGGTGTAATATTGAATGGAATAAATTGCTCTCAAAATTATCATGAAGAGCTTCAAAAAAATAAAAAAATCTTTGAGTGACCGGTTTTACCAAACATATTTCCCCAATGCATTTTCCCCAATAGACTGTAGTGTTATAAAAAACCGTTGGGGAAAAACATTTATGAAATTTTGAATTCCAATCATAAATCTCTGATAATCTGACATACGATCTGTTTGTAAAAGTCATGGGATTCCTGACTGACCTACATGTAAAGCTTTATAATTATGATTGCAGCATGAGCTAAATCCAGGATTTTGTTAAGAACCTGAGGCAAAGATACCCAATCCCTTTAACTTTTAATTGAGAGTGACCTTAAATATCTCTTTCTAGAAGTAACTTTGAATACAAGCTTTTAAATATCATCTGTTAAGATCCAGAAGGGCATTACAACTGTGTAAATTGATATCTGTTAATGACCCTCTGGCTCCAAAAAGCCAAGCAAGAACTGCTTACATACTGAGCAAGGATATAGTTCTTGACTGGTCCTCTATAACTTCTGTGTGCCTGCCAATTATCGCAATACATGGCAGACTAGAAACTCTAGAAATGGTTATAAGGGAATAGACACAACTGTTTGGTCCAAACATTTCGTCCATTTTTAATATATTCTTTCCATATTCCAAATAATGGGGCATTTTCAGAGCAATCCATTTCAGCTACATTTCTACTATGATATTCTTCCAAACTAACACACAAAATGTCCAAAGCTACAGTGTAGTATTCAAGGTATCTTTTAACAATGTCAAATCTGAAATGCATGGTCCTACATGTTATCAGTGATATATATTAAAGCTCTAAAAAAATTACACTTCAAAATGATCATGAAGTGCCTCAAAAAAGTTAAAATCTTTGAGTGACAGGTTTTACCATACTAATTTTCCCCGATAGACTGGAGTGTCATAAAACCCATTAGGAAAACACAAAATTTGATTTTGATTCCCAATCATAAATATTTTGATAATCAGACAGGCGATCGGCTTGTAAAAGTCATGGGGGTTCCTGACTGACCTAAAGGTTTATATAGTCATGATTGCAGTATGAGCTAAATCAGGACACATTTCTACTATAATATTCTTCCAAACTTACACACAGCATTGTACATAGCTAGTATTAAGCGCTTTAAAAATGTGACTATTGTTATCACATTATTATTATTACAAAGAATGTGAAAGGTCACCAATTCTTTTTCACTCTTAACAAATCTCAACCTCCTCTTTAACTTCTGTGTGTCTGCGAATCATCGCGGTACGTGCCATCCATTATGCCGTGGCAGATCTGTTTACCAATTTACCTTGAACAAGAATGGAGGGGGAGGCATTAAACTGTCTCTATTTCACGCTTGCATCTCCATGGCATATCCATCCGATTCAATTTCAAACTCGTTTGGAAGCAAGGCGGTATGTGATTTGCCTTAAAGCCGATGCCCTTTTGCTGATGATAATGCTCTTGTGGTGTACGGACTGGTAGAACGTCATCATACGTCTCTTGGTGGAGAATATTATTACAAAATTTACCAATTTGATAAAACTCTAAAAATGAAGGGCCCTCCATATTTATAGTTGTAGGCTTCATGAACACTGTATCATATGAATGTCATTTCTTGTTTGGGGAACTCTGGAATGCCAGATGGCAGGTCATGAACATGGTGCTAATTAAGTTA